CTAGATCATTTTTATGTTTGCAGTTGGTTTAATGCCTGTGCAACGTTAGTTTCTGAATTTTGGGCCATGCAAAGCTGATTCTACTGCACCCATTTTAAGATGACTCACAATCATCCGGGCGCCGGGATAGTCCTGTGGTTAAAGCGTTCGCTCGTCACACCGAAGACCCGGGTTCGATTTCCCAACTGGGTACACTGTGTACAGCAAATTTGTGGTGTCCCCGCCGTGCTATTGTTGGAATATTGCTAGAAGCGGCGTAAAACTAAACATAATCACTCACAAGTAGCCATATAGTCTTGATAAATGAGATTATGTGCCCGCCACTACCACGTCACCTTGTTAACCTTGTGGCCACTGTTCCGTTTTACGACATAGATCTCTCCAATGCGACCCCATCACTTCTCTTATGTAACAGAGTATCTGCAACCTCTTGTAGCTTGTTAAAGAGTTGGTTTGGCACACCGAATACCACACAGAGCTCGATCGCCACAGATATGTAATTTGTGAACCTGTCACTGGTTACCCCGCCATGATAAGACTGTGATATTGTTTAAAGCGGTGTAACCAGAAACACCACCTCACTCCCTCCTAATTCTACCCAGTCACTTGTCAGATTTTTGCTCTTCATAATTTTATGTATTTATTCCCATGAATCTAATAATCTAATCTCCAAGTAACCGATGTTATTTGACCACAAAACATTCTTCGTTATTTTGTCAGAAGTAAAATAATTTAAAAGCTAAATCGAATCATTTTCTTAACACTGTTCCAGGCAGTTGTGTATCCTAACTGCATGCGAGTGTATTTGAATCATGAGTCGTAAGAGGCGACTAACGGAATTGGGTTAGAATTGGTCCTCATAAGCACATGATTTTCGAAAGAGGCGACTAACGGAATCGGATGTCATTGTATCCCAATTACGTAGATCGATATTCATCCTATTGATCACTGGGATGTCTGGTTCAGAATCGATTATTTACAGGCTGCCGTCATATAGATGAAATATTTCGGCGTTAAACACCTAGTAATACCACAAAAACCTAAACAAAGATCAATCATACACGTTCGACAGGACAACACTAATGTTTGATGTCATCCAATAAACACAACACATGAGCGAGTGAGTGAATTTAGTTTAACGTCGCACTCATGATTATTCCAGCTATAGGGCGGCGGTCTGTACATAATTGAATCTGGACCAGACAATCCAGTGATGGGGCATGGATCTACGCAACTGGGAACCGATGACATGTGTCACCCGATCCCTTCAGTCGTCCTTGACGACAAGTATGGGTTGCTGGAGATGAATTCTAACCAGGGTAATCACGGGTAGCTTGCTGATGAGATATTATGTATAGTACTAACAATGATTGACATGTGTCAACCACGTCAGCGAGCCTGACCACCAGATCCCGTTAGTCGCCTCTTACGACAAGCATGTGTTACTGAAGATCACTATTCTAACCCGGGCCTTCATGGGTAAGACAATACATGAACCAAATGTTATTGTCAGTGCGTATGTAAGAATGAGGAGGGCAGTGATTTAAATCTGCTGTTTAATTTGTTGCACTCATTTACCGCATGATACGGATTACTCTTAAAAGTTAGACATCCCAAAAGTCATACATCCCAATTGTCAGACAAATCAGTCAGGCGTGACTGTGATTACAACCTAGTCTTACCCACTGATATAATGAGTCTGTCCCATACACTAACGAGATGGTTTTTACATTTGTAGAGAAATAGAATACTAATGTGGACTGGCTTACTCAATCACTGGGTTCTCCAAATGTGTTTTCACAATGTACCTACTCATATACTTAAGAAGTCTAAGAAAAAACTTTTCTGTGCATTGATTGACTTTACAAGAGCCTTTGGCAATGTGTGGAGATTGTCAAAGATAAATTTTTCCAAAGTAGGCAAGTTAGTGTTCGTAACAGCCCAAAAGCTTCTTATTACCAATACCTGAAAAATCATCCATCTTTTGAAAAATACCTTTTATTCCCCAGCTCTGTTTCTATCCCAATTCTGGGATTCAGATCTTGTAATCACAATCTACCTGTTGAAACTGGAAGGTGGACTAATACACCAAGAGAACTCCGAACTTGCCAACTTTGTAAAAGCCCAACGATTGCTGACGATTTTCACTATATTTTCAAATGTAAGGCATTTTCTGTGGAACGACACCTTTATATTCCCCATAAATTCAATACGTTTTCATATTTGTATACTTTTCAATCATAATTTACGTCTAAAAAATTGTCAATCTTAAAAAAGCTTTCCAGATTTATATCTATCATTAGCTCAACACTCAGAAAACTTAATCGAATATAACCAAAAATTAAAAGTCACCTTGTTTTTGCATGCATAAATTGCATTTTGTCTTCTCTAGTACCACCGATGGTGGTTGAATGAGAATAAAGGAATTGGAATTGGACACATGAATGGATGCGATGAACGAGACACCTGCCGTTCCCCGTGCACATGAACGACTACATTGTAGAAACATGGCTTGATTATGGGGCCCGATGTTCACTACACCAGACTGTCGGCCCTCGCACGAACAACAACCTGGAAGGCTTCCACAATAGATTAAACAAGGCACTCCCACATCACCATCCTAACATCTACCGATTGATTGATTTAACTGACCATTAAAATCATCTTGTTAAATTAACTTATTTTGTTTTTATGCCAAGTAAAGTCATTACAAAGTCATCCATTGATCATTTGAATTATCTTGTTGAATTAACTTATTTTGTTTTATGTCAAATAAAGTCATTGTCATTATCCATAATCTCTTCTCTTTGTTTTTGGATTAGTACATTTGGACTAGTCCATTAATTAACGAAGGTAAAAGTGTAATGAACCTCAGTGTAACCAACCATAACCTTTGTTTTTTCAACGCGTCTAACTTTTGGGACGTCTCACTTTTGGGAGGACACCCGTGATACAGGTATAGTTGTAAGCCGCATGATACAGGTATAGTTGTAAGCCGCATAATACAGGTATAGTTGTAAGCCGAATGATACAGGTAGAGTTGTAAGCTGCATGATACAGGTAGAATTACAAACCGCATGATACAGGATAGTTGTAAGCCGCATGATACAGGTAGAGGTGTAAGCGGCATGATACAGGTATAGTTCTAAGCCGCCTGATACAGGTATAGTTGTAAGCTGCATGATACAGGTATAGTTATAAGCAGCATGATACAGGTATAGTTGTAAGCCGTGTGATACAGGTAGAGTAGTAAGCCGCATGATACAGGTATACTTGTAAGCCGCGTGATACAGGTGTAGTGTATAGTTTTTAGCTGCATGACACAGATATAGTGTACAGTTGTAAGCCGAATAACACGGGTATTTTATGGTAAGCCGCATGATATAGGTAGAGTTGTAAGCCGCAAGATGTATGTATATTCGTGTTAGTTATCACTAATATGACTTCCGATAATTTCTACTTGTATGCATTGCGGTGGGGTAGCCAAGTGGTTAAAGCGTTCGCTCGTCACGTCGAAGACCCGGGTACATTGTGTGAAGCCCATTTCTGGTGTCCCCCGCCGTGATATTGCTGGAATCATGCTATAGTATGACCAGAAATTATTGAGAATTTTAGGAATATGTTTAATTGGATTTCTAGTATAAACAACCTTGACCAGCTAGCAAGTGCTTGGTTTCATTCCAGAGAGACAACTCCGTTAATCCTTTTTCATCAGTTTGTGAAGAGTTACCCCCCTCTGTTTACTTGCTCGCAGACGACATTTTCAGTGATCCTCAGTATGGATGATTTAGAGAAGAGGAAGTTGATTTTAGAGTATTATAACAAGGACATCAGATCAGCTAAAGTGATTTCAAGTAGAACAGGCATCCCTTTGTCCACTGTTTATCGCGTTTTGAAAAATATTGCAAATAGATATGGCATTGAGCACCAGGGAGGCGCAGGTAGGCCCAGAAAATTGACTGTCGGTGACAGGAGGCGGCTTGGTATTCTTGTTTCTAAAAACAAACGAAAAACTTGGATATGATTGATAGAGGAACTGTTGCTGTCTGTAAGGAGACAATTAGAACTGAGCTGCATGCAATGGGTTGGCAGAAAAGTCGAGGAATTCCATCACCGATCATGAAACCTGAACAAAAGGAGCGAAGGTTGAACCGGTGCTTACAGCATAGAAATTGGAACTGGGACAATGTGATTTTCTCAGATGAAAGTTCTGTGTGACTGTTTCCTAATACACTGAAATTCTGGACCAAACAAACTGAAAATCCTTTGTATCAGCGCCCAAAGTACAGTCCGAAATTGAACGTGTGGGGTGGCATATCTGTGTTAGGGGCAACGCCCCTCTGTGTATTTGAAGGGAACATGAACAGTGAGCGGTACATAGATTAGATATTCTCGAGGGGCATTTACTTCCATCTGCTCACGTGTTCTATGGAAATATTTGGATTTTCCAGCAGGACAACGACCCAAAACATCGTTCAAAGCATTCACAGGCCTGGTTTCGGAACCCAAAATATGACATTATTAGATTGGCCAAGCTATAGCCCTGACCTAAATCCAATGCAAAATGTTTTGGGACTTATGACGGAAAGTGTCAATGAGAAAAATATGAGAAATATTGCTGAAATGAAAGATGAGGTGGTCCGATATTGGGACATCATGGACCACGACTTTCTAACGTCTTTGATCAGTAGTATGCGCCGCCGCATTGAAGCCTGCATTGCTGCCCATGGTGACCTGACAAAATACTAACTGTTCACCTGTCTTTGAATCTGGAGTTTTGTTCTGCTAATATTCACATTTAATACGTGAGTAATGAGTGAAAACAATATAAAAAATTACAATCTTAAATTCTCAATAATTTCTGGTTGTACTGTAAAAGCTGCGTAAAACCATAAACACTCACACTCACAACTTGTACGCAATGAAAACCGAGACTCGAATGATTCTATTCCTGATTGAAGCCGTCATTTCCCATAGAAATATCCAACTATTTCATCCCGAACTTTGTGTCGGTATGATGTCACTGTCAACTCATGGTGACAGGGAAGTAAAGTGTTAGTCATATTTATCTCCCACATAGTTGTTCAGATATACTTTTACTGTGTTACTGTACGCACAGAAAACCTACAAACCAGCAAGGACTTCAGCGTGGAGTTCATTGACTACTGGGAACAATATTGCCATCAACTGTCTGTTTTGTGAAGTGTACGAATAGGATGTACTTCATGAAGCGTGGATGGATACTTCTGTGTCTAATTGCAGTGTGTGAGTATATATACATGGTGTCTGAGTTTTATAGACTTGATGTTTGGTGTATGTTGTATGATATTAGTGCCACCCAGGATAATAGTACAGATAAATCCAACTACCACTAGTAAGACCGAGCTCACCACCATAAACGCTAAGACAAAGGAGGTGATAAACTGAGATCGAGCTTTCTACTACACAAGAATTTTCATTAAATCTGAAGCTAAAAGTGTAAGGAATTTGTGCTCGCTCTACCTTCTCATATGAACAAAACTATGTAGAGATGAAAAGTCATTAATTTCCTAACTGATGGTGTTACTTCGGCTGGAAGTATTAAACTGGTTTGTGAAGAGGACGCTAGTTACAGTCGTGTCAGAATGTCAGAATGACCTCACCACCCTGCCCATAAACGATAATACAAAAGGAGAGGGTCACCGACTGAGATCGAGCTTTCTACTGACCCACAGTTTCATTAAATCGGAAAGTGAACGTATAAGGAAATTGTGCTCGCTCTATCTCTGATGTGTACTAAACTATGTAGCGTGGAAAAGTAATTAACTTCCTATCTGATGGCGTAAAATCAGCTGGAAGCATTAAACTGGTTTGTGAAAAAGACGCTGGTCCTTAAGTGTTGAAACAGACAATTTCCCGACATTCGTACACCGAAATCAGAAATGTGTAACGGTTGTATGTCATGATGACAACCTGTAACTGAACAGAATACTTCCTACTGTCTCCGGCATAATGTTAGATACGTCAAATTCAGAATAGAGGACATCCTTAATACTGATAACGTGAACTACAACAGGAAACATTCATACATAGATTTGTCATTTTGAAAGCTTTATAACATAAATGCCGTCACTTTCCCTATTGATATTACATAAATAAATGGCGTCACTTTCCCTATTGATTTGTCATTGATTTACTCATTTTGAAACCTTTATAATATAAATGGCATTTTGTTTATAACATAAAATGGCTTTCCCTATTAAGATTGATTTTTTGTCATTTTGAAATGGCGTCACTTTCCCTATTAAGATTGATTTGTCATTTTGAAACCTTTATAATATAAATGGCGTCACTTTCCCTATTAAGATTGATTTGTCATTTTGAAACCTTTATAATATAAATGGCGTCACTTTCCCTATTAAGATTGATTTGTCATTTTGAAACCTTTATAAATGGTTTCATTAATGGCGTCACTTTCCCTATTAAGATTGATTTGTCATTTTGAAACCTTTATAATAATATAAATGGCATTTGTCACTTTCCCTATTAAGATTGATTTGTCATTTTGAAACCTATATAACATAAATGGCGTCACTTTCCCTATTAAGATTGATTTGTCATTTTGAAACCAATATAACATAAATGGTTTCACTTTCACTATTAAGATTGATTTGTCATTTTGAAACCTTTATAACATAAATGGCGTCACTTTCCCTATTAAGATTGATTTGTCATTTTGAAACCTTTATAATATAAATGGCGTCACTTTCCCTATTAAGATTGATTTGTCATTTTGAAACCTTTATAACATAAATGGCGTCACTTTCCCTATTAAGATTGATTTGTCATTTTGAAACCTTTATAACATAAATGGCGTCACTTTCCCTATTAAGATTGATTTGTCATTTTGAAACCTTTATAACATAAATGGCGTCACTTTCCCTATTAAGATTGATTTGTCATTTTGAAACCTTTATAATATAAATGGCGTCACTTTCCCTATTAAGATTGATTTGTCATTTTGAAACCTTTATAATATCACTTTCCCTATTAAGATTGATTTGTCATTTTGAAACCTATATAACATAAATGGCTTCACTTTCCCTATTAAGATTGATTTGTCATTTTGAAACCTTTAATATAATCATTTTCAACATTGAATGTTTCAGCAAATGCCTTTGAAACGTGTTACGAGTATGGTAATTTCCGTACACTGACATGCCCGGATTCCTGTTGTGGTACACGTTCATCCAGATATTGTTGGTAAGTATAATTGTAAACATGTATCTCTAAATCTAACAGTTTAAGTGATACATCAGATAATGAGTGAGTGAGTTTAATTTTACGCCGCAGTCAGCAATATTCCAGCTACACGGCGACGGTCTGTAAATAATCGAGTCTGGACAGACAAACCAGTGATCAACAACATGAGCATCGATCTGCGCAATTGGGAACCGATGGCATATGTCAACCAAGTCAGCGAGCCTGACCACCCGACAAGCATGGGTTGCTGAAGATCAATTCTAACCCGGATCTTCACGGGTCATAGCATAATGATGCCGCACGGGACATTAATTACCCCTCATGGACATTATTACCCCGGATAACCGAAGATGCCAGTACGGCGCTAGAAGGTTGCTGGGTGACCAGAGGCACGTGTCACGTATGCTTCGAATTCGTTGTGGGGGCAAGACTGAAGTCTTCTCAACTCTCAGGAGTAAAGCTACCAAACACGGGCACCCATTTAAGTACCTTCCGTGAAAAACGTTGCTTACTTCAACTGATTTGTAACCTGGGATCTCTGCAAATGAGCAGACACCACCACATAAGTGACTGTAAGAAGCAAAGTCATAGTCACTGGTGTTCGTATTTACTCACATTATTTCCTCTGTAGAAATTTAAAACTACACACATCTCAAATAAGATGCCTCTAAGCTTGAATTAACCATGGGTTATCTCCTAATTGACAGACACCCATTTGACAGATAATCAATTGACAGACACTGAACTAGAAGGTTAATTAGGGTAACACCTACGCATATAATGGAACAGTCCACTCTCTGTTGAGTAGAGTAGGGTGAACCTGAAACAGATATCCTTACTGAGAAGTTTGATTGTGTGTAAAGAGAACTTTGTTGTGATTAAATGATAATCTGTTTTCTCTTCTCAAAAATATTTTTACTATCAATTATTATCGAATATATAAGCAGGTTTGTCACTGAGAGGTTTGATTGTGTTTATTGATTGAAACATTTTATGCATTCAAGAAAAGGATTGGGCACAACTTATCCAACTTCAAAAAAGCCCTCTCCCAATAATAGGATATGTACAACAGAATTTAACTGAGAAAACGTTTTATTACAGAGATATAGATCAATGGCATTGTGTAATCATAGATATAGATACGTACATATTAGAAAACACTCAGTTTTTCAGTTATTGACAGACATGCATTGCCATGTAAGATAAAATTAATACCAGTCAGTGTTCTACTTTTAACAATACTTTCTAAAGATTGTAACAGTTTACACTGATTAGTATACAATGGACATTCAATGAAGTAATGAAAAACATTCTCACAGCCATGGCCACATTGACACGATGCGTCATTTTTTATATTTATTCTAAATAAATCATAATTAAGTGTTCTCGTCTTAATCTTGTGTGCAAAACATTTAACTTCCTTATTCCATATGAATAATAATACTTTGAATTATAAAACTTTTCTTTCACGTGGATAAAAGATTTAAATGATGCAACAGAGTCGCAATTCCTAATAGCCAAGGGAATATTATTCAATATTTTAACTGCTGATGGAAAAAAGATGATGTTGAGTCATGTACATGGTTGGCTAAACTTATCGGTGTTTCTTAACTCATAACTTGCCCGGTTGCCTACTACAGGTGGGAGTAAATCCTGAAGAAAAACTGGTGTTGTTCTGTTTAGTAGGAACTTTAATTTCTGAAATGCTCCAATCATTTTAGATGTCATTTTGGCAATGTTTTCAATATAATACCAACTCCCGTTAGACGAGAAGAAAATAATATCGGTTCAGTCTTTTTCTTACATTTATATTTGGACTATTCCATTATAATGTGTAGGTAACGGGTAGTAGCTAATCTGTACATTGAACCGTACATGTTGTTGTTTTAAGGCGTCTGCGAACTGCCAGTCTGCGTAAAAGGACACCTAACCATGCAGTATATTTTAAGTTATGTTGGTTGCTGAGGTGATGCATGCATCAAAAGACATTCACAAATGCATCACATGAAACTGGGAACATCAGATTATTTTTATACCACGGGATCTAGCGTAATGCAGCTCTCGGTAGATTCACAATATCAGAATGGCAACACATTTCATGCAGTTGTCCTTCGTGGAAACCCCTACACTTTGCGACTAATTGGTTTGGTCTGATTCATTGACCTTGTTGACTTGCTGAGATATGTTATGATTATGGAAAGTGTTTGAATACTGTTGTGTGGGGTCAGGCAAAAAACAAACACTTTAAAGCAAATTGTGCAAGTGGTAAAATGTATGGATGTCACCTTCTATAGTGTAATGTCAACTTCCTGTGTGTAAGAAACACAACGTTTCGTATTTTGTTTTACCCCCGTTAGGTGAAGGATAATGAATGCATACTGTAATGCTGTGTTACTTCTAATAAGGAAATTGACACACATAAATCACCACCCTTTCAGAGTGATAGCTGTCCAAATTAACCAACAGTGTTTGTATTTTTCTAGCCCCACGGTTTCCTTCGGCCATCTACGAGCGGTGGTTATTGGAGGCATCGTGACCGGTGTAGTCCTTCTGATCGCCGCAATTGCAGGAATAGTGCTGTGCTGTGTCTGCTGCTGTAGGTCATCTCAAGGTCACCGAGGTCAAGTGGTGACCACCAACCAACAGCTTGCCGTCGTATCGACAGGTACGACATATGTTCCATGAATATGCATAAGCCAACAGTAAGAAGTGGGTTTGTTGTCAGTAATAAATCTATCGTTGAAGAAACGTAAACAAATGAGATGTTTGTGATGCTCATCAACGGCTTTCTTTCTTCCTTATAATGTCAACGTTTCTACAACTGATAATTATTTAGCCATTTCTGTTTTAGATATGTTTCAGACAGGCATGCCCAAAGAATCAATGTCAAACTCTTTATCAATTGAATCAAAATCTCTGTTCTATGCTCTATAATATTTTGAAGGCAATATATCTCAAGGTTGCGCTAAGTGGCGTTTCTATATTCACAAACATGTGTCAACTTGTACAAGCGGGTTGAAATATTCATTGACCGTATTGAAAAACAGAGAGGTTATCATCACGAATTTAGTCGTTCATTCATTTCACTCTAAGCCTATAACGCTAATGCACAGTAACTGACCGACTACATCAGCACATCATATGACTACAGAACTGTATCCTTTTCTAACCCAGGTACAAACCTCACACCTGCTACATATAACGCAGGGTACTTCAACCCACCCCAGCCTGCTCCAGGTCCATACTACCCCCACCTGCAGGAACGTCACAAGCTCCACCACCCTACTCCGCCGGACCATCGTACGACCCAGGACAAGCCGCATATCCAGCCCCAAGTGGAACAGTCCCTCCTTCTCCATATCCTGCTTATCATGAAAACAACTCGGAACCAACCAAAGCTGTGCCAACCAGCGAGCATTATTAAACTAGACTACAGTAGAGGCGAGGATGTATTGATGTCAACGATTTTTAGGAACATGACATTTCGGTGTACATCCTTACTCCTTCATCAGGTGAATGAAAAAGGTCACTTGATGAAGGAGTAAGAATATACTCCGAAACGGTGTCTTCCCTGTACAAAGACAAACCAAATTTCACATTTTGCACCATGTAGACAGGTGTCAGCCCGGTAGGTAGACAAACCAAATTTCATATGTTGCCCGTAGACAGTAGACAACAAACCAAATTTCATATGTTGCACCATGTAGACAGGTGTCAGCCCGGTGTAAACCAAATTTCATATGACCAAACCAAATTTCATATGTTGCACCATGTAGACAGGTGTCAGCCCGGTAGGTAGACAAACCAAATTTCATATGTTGCACCATGTAGACAGGTGTCTCATATGTTGCCCGGTGTCAGCCCGGTAGGTAGACAAACCAAATTTCATATGTTGCACCATGTAGACAGGTGTCAGCCCGGTAGGTAAACAAACCAAATTTCATATGTTGCACCATGTAGACAGGTGTCAGCCCGGTAGGTAGACAAACCAAATTTCATATGTTGCACCATGTAGACAGGTGTCAGCCCGGTAGGTAGACAAACCAAATTTCATATGTTGCACCATGTAGACAGTAGTCAGCCCGGTAGGTAGACAAACCAAATTTCATATGTTGCACCATACCTAAAACTGTTTGTCTGCGATCCAGTCGTAAACCCTCACAATAAAGAAGTTGACATCAATACAATTCTTGTCTGTATGTGTATCACTTCTAAATGTCTTTCAAAGACGTCATTTCCCTTGTTAAAATCCACTTTTGTTATCTCATCGTTCATCCATGGATAATCCCTGGCTCCCACTTGTCCATCCAATTTAGCGCTAATTAACAACTGGCTCCCCTTGCTATCTTATCACTGGTGTTGTTTCACATGTACACAATCTGTTTCCTAGTCTTCTATTCACCCGATGAAAGTGTAAGAATATACTCCGAAACGTCGTGTTCCACAAATAAAGAAGTTGACATCCAAACTTTCTCGCCTTTCTGTGCATCACTTCTAAATACCGTTCAAAGACACAATGTTGTTCATTTCTTGGACCTGTGACAGTAGGTTAACAGCAAGCACAATCTTTTTACTTTACAGTTTTTAATGATTTATGATTTGCTATCTTGTAAGTAATGATAATTTCCATCACAGATAACGCTTTACGTTTGGGAAGATATTTAGTTGCTATTTAATGAGGTGAGGTGAGGTGAAATTGGGTTTAACGTCGTGCTTGAGAATATTTCGCTCATATGACGACGTGCATGCGTGTGTATGTGTATGTGCGGCTGCTTGTACTAGCCCAGACTTAAGCTGGTTTTATAGTGCTACCTCACTGAGATACCATGCCGCAGTGAAGCATGAATACCCCACTCAGACACATTATACTGACTCCGAGCCGACTGTCCTTGTACCCATTAATGCCGAACGCCAGGCAGGGACCAACAAGTATCATATTTTAACGTCTTTTGGTATGACGCGGTCGGGGATCGAACCCGCGACCTTCCGCTCTCCGGGCGGACGCTCTAACCACTACACCACGGAGGCAATCGCTATTTAATGAGATATGAAATATCAAAATAGGAATGAAACTTGATCAAGTAAATTGATTGAACACTCATGCATATATCATTATTGTTTTTCGTACCTATCATGCCAGGTACTCGTGAAGTATTAATTCTTGTAATTTTATGTCTTTAGAAAAGTAAAGTTTCAATACAATGATTAAAGTTGTATGTATTACGTAGATTTCTATGAGCGATTGAGTCAGCATCCAGTCATATTCCAGATTTGTTTGTTCGTTTAAATATATGTTTTCACAGATCTCTATGGATACAGATAAATATGCAACAGGTTCGTGTTTTATTACAACTGCTATGTTTATACTCCTCACATGCTTGAGCACGATTATCATCTTTGATGTATGACTATGTTTTCCATGTTTCAATATTTTTGCAATACAAATTGCTTGTGTCGTGCCATGTCCTCAGTCAGAGAGGACGATGTATTCTGTCATTTGAATATTGCAGGAACAGGACGTCTTGTTTGTGGTTGTACATGTAACATTCTGAAAGACACATGATTGTGCCTTCAATGAGGCAAAAGATCGTAATCAACCATTTTCTAATGAAATACACTCATATGATTGTATATGTTTGTTTTGAATCTTTTTGGAGTGTTTGAATCTTACATAAATAGGCTTTATATAAATGAGCAACTTATCTCATTTTATGCCTGTTTGAGATCTTGAAATAGTTATTGATAAATACCCCTCAAATGTGGCTATGTGACTGTATGACAAAAGGGATGATTTCAACTTCCAAGTAGTCAACCTCCTGTTATATCGAGCAATATTCCAACACCTCCACCCTTTGGGGAGTTACATGTTCCTACTTTAGAGGTACACTCGAATATGCTCCTTGTACCAAGATTTCAAAGAGCGTCATGCCAATCTTGCTCAGAAAGTGTGCGATGAAGGCTACAACATTCATGGCCTCAGTAAAGCTTTCTAAAAAAACTATGTTAAACATGTGGAGAACATTTCGAACTTCGATGCATCAATGACTATAGTGATGTCCTATGTAGTTCCCCATTTTGACTTGTACCACACGTTCTCGAATTATTTCAGGTGAACAATAGACTAAGCTTGGCATATGTTTATGGCGGGTGCCATCGATGGGGCAAGAAACGCTCACCTTTTCGAGAACACCTGGTATCATCACTATTTCAAACAGTGATTCACAAACACATGCTCTGTCATCGTATAGTATGGTGACACACACTGTATGGTTCAGACGCGATTTGTTTACAAACAACATCCTACAGCTGTAATACTGCTGAAATACAATATTATATACTCATGGTAAAGTCACAGTTGTACAATCGACTCTGCTTTTAGCAGAGGTTTCTGATGAATTTGGAAAGGGTTTTGTCACTTTTATTATACAATAGATTGCCATGGACCTGTATCGTCTCCTGATATCCACATACACGTATCATCCCTGTCTGTTGATTTTAGGTTTCGTCTGAATAGAATCGAGAAAGAGGGGAAACCTCGATGACTGGATTGACAAAAATATAGACGGCCACTTTGGAAATATCCAATGTCCCCACCCCACTTTCCCATCTTCTCTAGACCCGTGAAGGTCCGGGTTAGAATATTGATCTTCAGTAACCCATGCTTGTCGTAAGAGGCGACTAACGGGTGATGAGGTTCGCTGACTTGGTTGACACATGTCATCGGTTCCCAATTGCGCAGATCGACGCTCATTTCTGGTCCAGACTCGATTATTTACAGACCGCCGCCAAATAGCTAGAATACTGCTGAGTGAGGCGTAAAACTAAACTCACTCATTCACTCTCCTTCTCCACTCCCCTACCTTGGAAACAACCCGTGAAGATCCGGGTTAGAGTTGGTCTTCAGTAACCCATGCTTGTCGTAAGAGGCGACTAACGGGTGGTGAGGTTCGCTGACTTGGTTGGCACATGTCATCGGTTCCCAATTGCGCAGATCGACGCTCATTTCTGGTCCAGACTCGATTATTTACAGACCGCCGCCATATAGCTAGAATATTGCTAAACTAAAAAAACTAAACTCACTCAGTCATTCACTCTCCTTCTCCACATCCCTACCTTGGAAACAACCCGCGAAGATCCGAGGTTAGAATTGGTCTTCAGTAACACATGCTTGTCGTAGGAGGAATCTGGAGGTCAGGCTCACTGCCCTAGCTGACATATGTCATCGTATCCAAATTTCGTAGATCGATGCTCATGATGTTGATCACTGGATTGTCTGGTCAAGACTCGATTATTTACAGATCGCCGCCATATAGCCGGAATATTCCTGAGAGCGGCGTTAAACAACAAACCAACCAACCAACTCAGGAAACCTTTGGTTTTAGGTAAGCACACATCCCTATGATGTGAACATAATGTTATACCAACCCGGAAGCTGGGCGATTGTCAAGACAGATGGTGTGACACAGGACGTGAGAGACAATGGTGTGAAGCTATCGTGCGTTGATCTTGTTAAATTTCACAAGTAGCTCACTGACAGGTCAAATTGTCGAAAACATATTTCAAGACTAGGTTAACATGATTTAGCTTGTCTATGTCAGGTTCCAATTTTCAACATGTCAGTCGCACGAAGCCGTTCCTGATGTGGCAGACGCCGCAATTCAAAATACATTTAACTTCGTTTCAAATAATATCAAAACAACTTTCAGTCTTTTTATTCTGAAATGTACAGCAAAACACTGACTTTAGTAAAAATCAGTTAACCGCGGGACTACCTTCTCGCCCCTGAAGTTACTGTAAGTGTCTGTCACATAGTTGGGTGTTTTTTAAGTCCATCAATCATTTCCGCCATCTTTCCTTACCACAAGAATTAAACTATTTCCGGTTGCTGCGCTTCCTGTTTGTTCTCTAGAACATGCGTTTACTTGTATGAATAACTGGAATATAGTTGTTGTATATACATTATGTTTGCGTCAAGGAAGAAATCCTGCTTGAGCAAATCAGCTGCAATAGTTCAGTAACGTTTCAGTTACATCACGAGGTGTTATCCCAAAGCTTGAGAGTTATCCGAAATACTGACTTAGACATTTAACTAATCAGACGTTGACAACACCAAGAATCATAATATTGGGGAGTCTAAGATTCGAAGCAAATGATTACGTCACGCCCAGGGTAGAAACTATCTACAGAAAGGAATACGATTCCGCCCTCCATGTTCCCACCACTAAAGCTGAGAAATTAAGTGAGCTGATGTGAAACATTAGCCATTACGTGGCGTTTAAAATGACTTCAGTCTCTTGACGATGTACAGTACAACCAGAAATTATTGAGAATTTAAAGATTGTAATCTTTTCTTCACTCATTACTCACGTATTAAATGTGAATATTAGCAGAACAAAACTCCAGATTCAAAGACAGGTGAACAGTTAGTGTTTTGTCAAGTCACCATGGGCAGCAATGCAGGCTTCAATGCGGCGGGGCATACATTATTGATAAAAAAAGTTAGAAAGTCGTGATCCATGCTGTCCCAATATCGGACCACCTCATCTTTCATTTCAGCAATATTTGTCAGATTTTTCCTATTGACACTTTCATTCATAAGTCCCCAAACACTTTCTATTGGATTTAGGTCAGGGCTATAGCTTGACCAATCTAATAATGTCAGAATCTGGGTCCGAAACCAGGCCTGTGAATGCTTTGAACGATGTTTTGGGTCGTTGTCCTGCTGGAAAATCCAAATATTTCCATAGAACACGTGAGCAGATTGAAGTAAATGTCCCTCGAGAATATCTGTGTACCGCGCACTGTTCATATTCCCTTCAAATACACAGAGGGGCGTTGCCCCTAACACAGATATGTCACCCTACACGTTAAATGTCGGACTGTACTGATACAAAGGTTTTTCAGTTTGTTTGGTCCAGAATTTCAGTGTATTAGGAAACAGCCACACAGAACTTTCATCTGAGAAAATCACATTGTCCCAGTTAAAATTTCTATGCTGTAAGCACCAGTTCAACCTTCGCTCCTTTTGTTCAGGTTTCATGATCGGTGATGGAATTCCTCGACTTTTCTGCCAACCCATTGCATGCAGCTCAGTTCTAATTGTCTCCTTACAGACAGCCACAGTTCCTCTATCAATCATATCCAGCCTTTAGTTTTCTAAACTCCTTCGTTTGTTTTTAGAAACAAGAATACCAAACCGCCTCCTGTCACCGACAGTCAATTTTCTGGGCCTACCTGCGCCTCCCTGGTGCTCAATGCCATATCCATTTGCAATATTTTTCAAGACACGATAAACAGTGGACAAAGGGATGCCTGTTCTACTTGAAATCACTTTAGCTGATCTGATGTCCTTGTTATAATACTCTAAAATCAACTTCCTCTTCTCTAAATCATCTATACTTAGGATCACTGAAAATGTCGTCTGCTAGCAAGTAAACAAAGGGGGATAACTCTTCACAAACTAATGAAAAAGGATTAACGGAGATGTCTCTCATGAATGAAACCAAGCACTTGATAGCTGGTCAAGGTTGTTTATACTAGAAATCCAATTAAACATATTCCTAAAATTCTCAATAATTTCTGGTCATACTATACATGCATTATTTTGCCTCCTGCCTAGCTTCTTCTGTAATACTAAAGCCCTAAATGAAGCAAGTTTAGATTTCCTCAGGTTCAGGCCTGAATCTCCCATCTCACTAACTAGCTCCTTTTCAATTTAAAATGATTGTTTATCTCAAAAGTGATACATAGTCAGAGACTAAGTGAGTGAGTGAGCTTTTACGCCACTTTTAGCAATATTTCAGCAATATCACTGAGGGCTCCACGCATTTTCCCAATGTGGGGAATCAGACACGGGTCTTCGGCAAGACGGGCGAACGCTTTAACCACAAGGCTACCCCACCGCCCCTCAGAGACTAAGCGTTAGTGTAGTGTGTTTGTGTGTGCTTGTAGAGAACTACGTTAGCGAGTACTCCCTTCTCTAACGGCAAGTGCCCAGTGGGATCGATACAACTTGATTTAGGGCACATCTATAAATAGTAAAAACGCGTACATCTATAAATAGCAGGTGGAAAATATTATGCAGTTTATATTGGGGAACGTGCCTGTATACAATCCGTTTTGTCATATTCGATCAAGAATTACATTTACCGCCGGTAAGGTTACCCAACTATTTACACAATGTTTCGACCGGACGATGAGGGCGTGGCTTCACATTTCAAGCTGCTCTGTCGCAATAGCTTGACCTACTAAGATATGGGACAACAGATACTACCTGTCGGTTGAGTGTAACTCGGTGGTATGCAGCCGTGTCGTTTCGGCTATGAATTCCCGGCTGATCGTATACACATTTCTCGCTTTAAAAACAGTTTGTGAGTATACAGTAGAATTGTGATTGGTTGTTTGATGCCTCTGTGACGTATATCAGTCATATGACCCATGTGGAGCAAGGACGTGATACGAGTTTTACCGCTGACAAACGTCGGCATACAGCCAACCATACCTGGCACGTTAGACTAAGGCTTAGTCTCTGAATATATATAATTTTGATAGTAACAAACAAGCCCATTTATATTGAAAAGGAGCCCTAGGGAGACCAGAGATTCAGAACCTGAGGAAATCTAGACTTGCTTTATTTAGGGCTTTAGCAGCGCAGAGAGGGCTTGGCAGTAGGAAATTAATGTGGTTCAGGGACTGTGAGACAGACTACTGGCACGTCTAATTGTACAGAAAGCACATTTCCGATCTTAAGGGTTAGGAAATAACGATCGAGGGTAATATACACCAATTGTACAGTGAATGAGTGGATGAAGGGATGAAGGGAAGGAAGGAAGGAATGTTTTTATTTTCTCCAGAGTTGAATCCGAAGATCATGCATAGGCAAATATACTATTCAAACTTTGCTAAGGATCAAATCATGAATTCAACAGAAAACTATGATGTGGGGTCAAATTTGTTTTATATATCTAAGCTTATTGTAAGCATGGATCCTAGGTTTCAGTATGTCACTGCATCTTGTGGATCCCATACCTGCTATTGACAGGTGTTGTGTATTTGTCAATGACTCGTTCCATGATATGCAGAATGGTTGATTGGTGGCATGAAAACCATTTTTTATGGTTACTCACGTACCAGGTGCATAAGGTTAGATTACAGTGGCTGTTTGCCTAAAGAGATGTTACCATAGTATTATTTATCTATTTTTAAATGAATACAATTTCAAATCATAACTATACGTTTCAGTAAAGTTGTGAATTTTTGTGATCCTCATCAAAGTGTGAGTAGTATACATCATTTACAATAAATTAAATTAATTAATTTATACAGAACACCTTTTGCATTACTTCGGTGTGTAGAATGAATGCATGTTATATGCTGGACTGCACTTTATTAACTAACTTACAGCTAGTGTACAATGTGTGAACAGTAGACTGATAATGCATATATGCCCTAAGTAGATGTACATAATATGATGATTCTTTAGATTCCATACGAAGTTACAAAATGACAGAATTGTGTATTCCAATATATAGTCCGTTTTAGTTCAAATGAGAATGATGAATGATTAAATACCTCGAAATTGGGATAAGTCCACAAAACATAAATAAAACACACGGTCCTGAAACCTCTGTACCCAGCAGGATCTGAAATCTTACCTGTTTTGATCGATCATGGAAAAAAGTTGTTAAGAACTATCATGTAATATTGTGCTATTTCACGCTTCACACCGGGGGGTGACAAACGGCTAATGGAATATCACCTGGCTTGCTGGGGTCACCTCATCTGGCTGTGCTGAGCTGCACCTAAATTCGTGCTAATGCGGTTCCACCAGCCGTTTGTCATCCCTCGGTATGAAGCGTGAAAATAGCACAATATTACATGACAGTTTCTTAAACAACTTTTTTACTCGATCGATCATAAAACGTCAGATTTCAGATCCTGTTAGGTACAGAGGTTTCAGGACCATGTGTCATATTCACGTTTTGTGCACTTATCCCTATTTCGAGATATTTAATCATTCATCGTTCTCATTTGAACCCAAACGGACTATATACATCATTTGCATTACTTCGGTGTATAGAATGAATGCATGTGATATGCTGTACTGCACTTAAATAAATAACTTACAGTGTACAATTTGTGAACACTGAAGAGTACATGTATGTGTTCAGTAGATGTACATAAGATGTTTCTTTAGATTTCATACGAAGTGACAAAATGATGTATTATGTATTCCAATGTATCATAATCAATTTTGTCAGTTAAGTCTTGAATATCTGTGCCGAGAAACAATGGCAACATATCATCGTCGACGTCGTCAAGCATATCTAGTTTTAAATATCTATTTTTACATTTACATCACGTGTATTGCTCAGGCAGGCGAAACTATGATTTCTGTCAAACATGAACGATTCACTGTGCAAGATGACATGACAATCATAGTCATAGCAATGACGATTGCAGTGGTAACATTCCTGTGACACTTTTGCTATTGATCCGATTTTGACAAAAAGTTGCATTTGATGTCTTAAATGAGGATGGAGATGCATTATATTACAAAGAACGTGTATTTGTAAATTTGTGTAGATTTAACATCATCGTGAGAGATCTGTTCTCTGTTTCAGTCTTTTTCTCCAAATATTTTGTGCATTCTCCGAAAGATGTCTGATTGCAATTGTCCACTGAATTGATTTGGTTGGGAATTAATAACTATAAATCGATACTCTGAGATAGTGATCCACGTGATATTTTAGCAGCATGTAAATGAAATACACAATGCCATTTTAGAAAGTGGTGAAATGTAACATATGTTATATTTGGGATTACACTTTCTTAGTAAAGTACAGATTCTAGTACTTTTTGGGGTTGAGTCCCATCCCTTTACTAAGAAAGTGTAATCCCAAATATAACATATGTTACATTTTACCACTTTCTAAAATGGCATTGTGTATTTCATAGCTTTCGGCCGTGGGAGCCGTGCCAATTAACACTTATCAGAGGGGTACACAAAGTCCGCAGTCTAGACTACCAGTTGTCCGACTTCCATTTTTGTGGAAGCCGTGGTGGCTGAGCGGTCTAGGCGTCTGACTTTGTGTGCTGGCGATTAGGTGCCTGACTCTGAGGGATTCGAATCCCGGATGGGACTCAACCCCAAAAAGTACTAGAATCTGTACTTTACTAAGAAAGTGTAATCCCAAATATAACATATGTTAGCATGTAAATGGTTGCTGTATTTGCTTGTAGAACGGCTAGTATTGTCAAAAGTCCTGGTAGTAATATGAACACAAAATAGATCTTTTGTTATTGAGTTGCAGTCATTATTACAGAGTCTTCATAATAACTGTAATCTACATTTATCTTTGCAACTATTTATTGAGAGTCGCTGTAAGACACGCATGAAAATGCACATGCATTCTTCACCTTCCTTAAGTATTGACTAAAATGATTTTTAAAGTTAAAGTTTGGTCCCTGTGGTGCGTTCGGTACCAAATTTTAGACATAGCGTGAAATCTCCATACCGTATTCCATCTATTAGACGCCTTAGCGTCAATTAACCTCACGTTAGTCGTTGAAACTGTACCAACTTCCCAGGCACCATCTCCTATAATATTGTTAATACGGTATTACTAGATACACGTAATCAGGATTTAGGTAGGTCACTGTTCGGAATTTTGACTCATGATTGCTAAATGTAGTACCCTTTATTCTATATTTCGGACGATTTCATCGGGAACGCTGTCTTGCGGATGAACGGGGTCTGACTATATTACGAATCACTTTTCTCGTTGCAGCTTATACGTTAGGAGATTGCTCTCTGTCATGCACTCATGGATGCTGTGGTTCCATCAGATACGGACTGCATTGTTGTTTAGACCCAAGGTGGGTACCGGTGCATTCATTGGCGTATCAAAACACTTTATTATGACAACGGCAATGACAATTATTAGACATTAGGAAAAGAATCATAAATTTATTTTAATGTATCTGATATGTTCATGTGAATAAGAACTACACTAGCCGACGTTGTATTCAACAAAATGTAGTGGTTGTCGTTTTTCTATTGCAACAATTAATAAGTTCACATCGTTTTTCAAGCTGAAAGAAGGTTACGCTGTTACTGGAAATTCAAACAATCCCAGTCTTCTTATTTTCACCAAAATAGAGAAGCAGTAACAAATGAACCAGTGGGGGTCTACACGGCTAAAGAATAAAGAAGTAAGTAGTTCCGTAGCTTTCAAAGAATAGATAGGATAAAAGAATACTTTAAATTAAGGAATAAAATTCTGGTGCTGTTTCTGTGACGGTGGTCAGGGAACACTTTATCCACTGGGGTACCAATACCCATCCACAAGAACATTCGTTTAAACCTGTGAACATCGGTTTAGAATTGGTCCTCAGCAACCCATGCGTTTCGTAAGACTACAGGTTGTTCAGCTGAGGCGAGGTTTCTTGAAATTGGTGTAAACGAGTGGACTGATTGCTGTGCCCATGTTGAAAAATTGGAAAGCGACTACTGGGACAGAAATATTGCAGTTGAACATGAAATAGAAAAAGTGATAATTGAACTGGGTGGAGAGAGTGATAGCGAGAGTGAATCGGATTCTGAAAGTAACTGACTTTACGTTGTAAAGTTAGTAAACCAAACTAAATAGCATATGACTGTAAAAACAATTAAATTAAAACATGAAATGATTGTTTTTTCAGAAGTGTTGTTTTCCGGGACACGTTCTGTAACGAAGCCATGTATGCATGTTTCGCACGAACGCAACAATAACAACATTCTCTGCTCCCCTATTTAATGAAGTTAACTCGACCAGCCGTTTGTGCCATTTGACCTCCTGGGTCATGCATATGTAGAGTAGCTCAGGTCAAGCTGAACAACCTGTAACCCTATCGGGAGGTCAGACTCACTGACTTAGTTGACACCTGTCATCGTATCCCAATAGCGTAGATCGATGACCATGCTGTTGACCACTGGATTATCTGGTCAGACTCAATTGTTTACAGACCGCCACCATATAGCTGGAATATTGATGCGTGCGGCGTTAAACAACAAACAAATAAATAAACAAACAAACAGACATACATGCGTTTGAATGATCTTATGACTGTCTATGAATAAACAGTCATGATTCATGGCTGATTAGTTCTCTTGTCATTACTTTGCCGCCATTGTAACTTCACGGGAGGTGTAGTAGCCTTGTGATTGAAGCCTCCGCTCGTCACTCCGAAGACCCGGGTTCGATTCCCCACATGGGTACAATGTGTGAAGCCCATTCCTGACTATGTACAACTCTACAATGGTAATTGCCTATCAAACTATTTTCTAGAATAGTGTTACAATGACAGTGGGGTTTCATTTATGTTAAATAAGTTAATTACAGATCATTCATTGTAACTACAACTGCTGCGTGTGAAACCCTGTTGTTCCTTTACACTAAAATTGTGAACGTCCACGGTAGTGGTTACAAATGCGTTCGGATTATCCAGGTTTCAAAGTATTTTTGTTTCCACATTTGTTGATTTATGCATGCTACAAGAGAAAATATATGTACAAGAGTCATTGGTTCATATATCTCCTAAAATATCGGGTGGTGGGGTAGCCTAGTGGATAAAGCGTTCGCTCGTTACGCCGAAGACCCGGGTTCGAATCCCCGCATGGGTACAATATGTGAAGCCCATTTCTGGTATCCCCCGCCGTGATATTACTGGAATATTGCTAAAAGCGGTGTAAAACCATACTCACTCACTCATTGTAAGTTCATGTTGTCCGAAGCACTTTTCATCACATATTACTACACGGGGTTTCTAGGTCATGGTCGAACTTTGTGTTTTTGCTTCAGTATATCCGTTAGTTATCCACCCGGAATAATCGCTGCGATCGTCTGCGCTGTCCTCTTCCCCATCATCCTGGTATTTGGAATTGCTTGCTGCCGTGTCTATTGTTGCGGGTCCTCGCCAAAGAAACATCATCACATGATACACAGGAGACCCCCTAGCGGTGATAAACACAGGTATGTCACTTCAATATTACTTTCACAGGTAATGCACCGGAAAAACCACATGGTCAAGTTTCTCATTACGTGTTTTTAAATAATCAGGTATAAGTTGGAATATCAACTTAGTTTTTTTTGTATTCCCAGTTCCCAAACACTCCAGCCTTTGGACATTGTCTACTACCAAATTGCTTCAAACCATCGAAACCTTCAGAATCAAGGAAAACACAGATCCGCTGAGGTCATGGATCAGAAAAAGCTACAAATGTTTAATAGGAGCCACATTTGGCATTAATTAAAAACAGTAACAGTCACCAGCGGTACAGATAAGCTGCATAAATTACACAAATATTTATGTGAGTGAGTGAGTATAATTTTACGCCGCACTCAGCAATATTCCCGCTCTATGGCGGCGGTCCGTAAATAATCGAGTCTGGACCAGACAATCCAAATATTTATGTGAAAACTCAGTTCCTATGAAGCCTATTGCGTACAAGTACGCTTGAAAATGCTCAATAAATTTGATCTTACATGCGTACACACACAAATGTCAAATCGTAGCTTGTGTACCGGTGGATAAATAAAATAACTTAGGTATACTGAGAGGTTCTATTTCAGCAAATGAACTTGGCAAATTGCAGTCTTTCTTATTTTATTATATTTTTACAGTTAATGGCAAAATACCCAATTGAGTTTGAGTGAGGTGGGTACAATTTGTTTGGTTACTCAAAGGAAAGTTAGGATACCCAATTGAGATGAACATAAGCGAGTACATAACTCAATGACCCAAAATGTTATCTGTAGCTCTGTCAGTCGGATCCGTATTTTGTTGTTTTGGCCTGTCAAAAAATGGCTAAGACTTTCATATACTGTGGCTAAAGCGAGTTTATTATACTCAGTTTGTAAAGGATGTAATCCCATAGTAGTGAAAACACGGGATGTGTTAGTGAAAAAGGTTACGAATTTAAGCGTTCATATTGTTTTTAACATGCACGTGTTGCTGCAACATTTTGTCTAAGCTGTTTTAGTGTGCATTGGATTTGTTTTATGTGTAGCTTCCATGTTGATGCCTCGCATTCAAATATTCTTTTTTGTGTTTCTGATTACCAAACTTGTGGTGATTTAGAGACAATGCAGGATCGGCACACTCACGATGCTATCTGGGCATTGAATGTACTTGGAAGGAGGCTGTCCAGAGAAACTAAATTCTAAACTGATTACGATGTGTCCTCCTCTGAACTACACGCCAAAATCCGTCAAACAATATGCTCACTGACTTGTTGGAACGGCCAATGCATTTAATCTCATTATATAATTCAAAAACATAATGCATTATATTTCTTTTGGGGATTTTTTTTCTACTGTGAAGACTTGTCATTTCAGATCTGAGCTGTATATAGGCTCAGCACAAAGAGGGTATTATTATACTAACATTTGTATAGCGCCAATATCTAGCTCAGCTGCTCAAAGGCGCTTTGATTTTCTCTCGATCATTGGATGTCAAACTCAAATGGCACGTAGTATTACTAGTGTACTGTACACTAGGGTTTGTAACACTGAAAGGATCTGCACACAGTTTTGACTCCAAGGTTTTACACGAAAGAAGCTATTTGTTTTTAAGACAGGTGTTCACCTTTCAAGTGAGTGAGTGATTGAGTGAATGAGTGAGTTAAGATTTACAGAACGGTAAAATAACAGAATATCACAGATATGAATATAAAACTTGTAAACCTAAAACAGTTTAACTACAGAGGACGATATAAAATAAAAACAGGCTGTAGATCGCCGACAACTGAAGGCAGATGACCATAGATGGGGACTTACAATGCCTTTGCTACCTGCATCACCTCTCTACACGGCGTTATTTTTATTGCATTGATGTGTTGTCTATAGCGCCACAATGGAGTGCAACTTTTAAAAACACTTCACTAGTTTGGCCCTGTTTCGGCCCTATAATGATTACCAAATTCTGATTCAGGTTCTTCAATCGAAACAGATGACCTAGGCTATCCAATTAGGCCGCATTTAGGAGCAAGACAATTCCGTCCTCCTTCTACAGCTTCTTCAGCGTATTCTCCACCCATCGACGACTCCTCAACGATATCAACGTCAGCATTTCAGCCTCTGTCTGCTCCGCCACCATCCTTCGATGAGTGCACAGCAACGGATACAACAATACATAAAGCAGGACCGATGATAACAACAGTGTAATTACTGGAACAAACATGCGGAGTCGGACTTTCGTCCCATGCCACGCCACACTGACCACCAAAAGACATTGGAATTCGACCTGTTTATGTTACCAACATTTGGAAATATGGTATTTGGGTGGGATAAAACATAATTATATTATCAGTGGGTGGGAAAGTTTTTGACGGGTGCCTTTTTCCAGTGTATGTAGTACGGGTATTCAATACACGCATTATGTCATCTTAGTGATGTTGTAACAGGCGACAGAAGGGAGTGGGTCGTCGTCATCACTGACTTGCTTGATTCCATGTTAGCGTGGAACAAAAACATATTGTTAATCATCATTGACTGACTGATTCAGGCTCGATTTTTACTTAGCGTTCAAACGATATTGGGGAGGAATTTCACTATTTGTGTATTTGCCCTACCTTGGTCCTTGAAAGGAAGAAATATATCAACATCTGTTACTGTAAAACACCGAATATGCAAAAAATGAACCAGCTTTGTCACTGTAATAAACTAGGAACAATTAGGAAATTAGCAATATTTTGCAAAATAATAATGTCTCAATATAAGAAACACCGAAACAAGATAAACGCATGAGTGTAACACCGTTAACCTAACTGGTTAAATGCATGTACAGACATACATGTAGTTTATTCTTGTAACCAATCGAAATGTATATGTTACCAATCTGTGTACCATACACGCATGTAACATATATGTGTTGCACGTAATGATGTAAACATGTACCTCTAATGCCGCAGAACTCGGCCGAAGTGTAAATAAATTTCAGTTTAGGTCAGCTGAAATATCTGTGAACGCCATTGTAAAAACAAACAATCGAATCATAACTGATATAAAATCAGTCTGGATCATCCCCGAGATAGATAGTTCGTCTCGGCCATGGCATTTCCTTCCTTGCTCATTATTAATGATAAGTGCTTCTGAGCCCATGGTGACATCATATTGTGTTTTGTTATTATATAATAAACGTATTACATTGTTCTAATGTATATTGGTATGCATGATGTGTATATATGATGTATTGTGTTATGTATGTACAAGTACAATGTATATATGATGTATTGTGTTATGTATGTACACGTACAATGTATATATGATGTAATGCGTTATGTATTTACACATATCTAATGTATATATGATGTATTGTGTCTAATGAATATATAATATATTGTGTAATGTATGTACAAGTACAATGTATATATAATATATTGTGTTATGTATGTACGGTACACATGTATATATAATATATTGGGTTATGTATGTACGGTACAATGTGTATATGATGTATTGTGTCATGTATGTACAAGTACAATGTATATATAATATATTGTGTTATGTATGTACAAGTACAATGTAAATATGATGTATTTTGTTATGTAAGTACAGGTATAATGTATATAAAATATATTGTGTTATGTATGTACAAGCAGTGTCGGAAATAGCCACTAGCCCGCTAGCCCGTAAGTGGTAAGATTCCAGTCGGACCAGTAAATCTCCACAGTCACTGGCCCGACTAGCTAGTGAATTTTCATGTGGTCATTTTGTACATGTACAATGTATATATGATGTATTGTGTTATGTATGTACAGGTATAATGTATATATGATGTATTGAGTTATGTATGTACAGGTACAATGTATATATGATGTATTGTGTTATGTATGTACAGGTATAATGTATATATGATGTATTGTGTATATATGATGTATTGTACTATGTATGTACAGGTATAATGTATATATGATGTATTGTGTATGCTGTACGGGTCATTGTAATATGTTATTTATGTCCATGGCATATACGATGTATTGTGTCATAAATGTATGTAGCTAGCATGATGTATTATGTTATGCTTATTTCAGCCATCATAATGTATTATGTCAAGCATGCTGAGGATCGAATCATTATCTTGTAGCTCTCAGGGCAGCTGCTCTATTTACTAATTAATGGTCAAGACCAGATTCCGTAAGGCTGTTTGACGTATAAGCATATTGTCCGTGCAGTGAAAGTAAACATGTGATCATCCCACACGTTCACACCCAAGCTATAGATGTGACTGCTAGGTTCAGCGATGTTCAAATGGACAAATAATGCTACATTGATATAATAATCAGGCCGAATATTCAGCATAAAGTATCTACTGAAACAGTGTCCATAGGACAGCAAACAAATGTGATGAGAATGGTATGAATGGAGGAGCTTCACGGGTGCCACGAACAGCTCATTTACCGCAAAATGTAACTGTTGTCTACTGAGTCAACCAGCAATACCCTTGCGATAAGTCGATGACATGTGCGCAATAGAGACTATACAGACAATCCCGTGATTTATATCATGAGCAATGATCCATGTCGGCGTGCTATGCTATCATCCAATTTGGTCATCAAATTCAGGAAGTGAGTTTAAATTTACGTCGCACTCCGCAATATTCCAGCTATATGGCGGCTGTCTGTTAGTAAACGTGTCTGGTCTAGACAAACCAGTGTTCAACAGCATGAGCATCGATCTATGCAACTGGGATACAATGACATGTGTCAACCATTTCAGCGAGCCTGACCCCCCGATCCCGCCAGTCGCAACAAGTATAGGTTACTGAAAATCAATTCTGACCCGGATCTTCTCGGGTCTAATTCAGGAAAACTTGCTGGAACTGAATTTAGTGACGACAGTGTTCTTAGTCCTCATTTGTGAATGATTTCAATAACAATATTACATATTCATGTTGTGCTATACTAGACATGGGTGCTACACAATGCGCTCTTGTAGGGAACTGAAAAGAGGGTGTGAAGGCCGAATTCATTAACTACAACTAACCCGCCGCCCCTGGTGATTGTGAAATATATGTTGTAATAACAGGTTTAAAGCTAAAAGGGTGACCAGGAAAACGCTTTATATGTACATATATGGATAGATATGAGGATGCCATTGATGACGACATGAATAACGTTTTTGTCATTACTACATGCAACATGAATGTTATCAACGTCTACCACCAAAGAGGGTAAGGTACGTCACGTCACACGGTTCCGGTTCACGTAACAGGTACAGTTGCGTGAAGTTCGCACTGACGAACCACATCAGGATGGGTTCACTTACTGGATCTGGATGTGTCTTTCTTGCACTGGTCACTGTTGGTGAGTACATACAAACATGGACATTATGATTTTACGAGACTCGTATGTTTTAACTAAAGACATAAAAACAGGTATGCCATAACCCCGCAACATACTTAATTGGATATGCAAATAAGATATAAAGTGGGACTTTCTTCGCCGGTCCTCGTGGTTCGATTCAAAAGCTAAAATAACAGTGAAATATACCAGAGACATAATCAATTAACACAGAATTGGTGTTGCTACCTGTATTTAAGTTTCCATTATTCCGCAAAACTATGTTTAAGAATGTTTTTCAAATCAATCGAAGAACTCAGGGAATGAATATGCCAAAACGAGTTGACTGGTTGTGTATTTTGGTTCACGCGGCAATAGAAAACATGTAGCACGACGCACAATTTCTCATTTACTCCTTAAAAGGGAAACTATAAAACAAGTGAAAATGATGAATGGAATTCATCACTCATGGATATGGGAAACATCGTCCCTCGACATGTTATAGTTACATTTGCCCTGCTTAATGCTCTGCAAATACCTATTACCTAAGGCTCGGTTCAGACAGAAAGACAGACAATTTGTATTCACGTATTCAAGGCCATGGCCCATATTACAGTATTCTGTGTAAGTGTTTTGATGCTGGTCTTACATTACAGGTAACTTTTCGGTGTTGTTACGTGATAATCTAAGAAGCTCTCATAAAACTACAATAGAGACGTTATATCAAATTATCAAACAATATTTCAGTTCATATGCTGAAAATCTAATCATAATTTGAAGTATTTCTTATCTTAAGAACTTTATGTAATAACTTTGCTAAACATAACAATACATTTATGTCACTACTCGACATGATTCTGACAAAAGTGTCCATAGAAGGGCTATTTCTTATGCTTGGATGCAAACACTCTATTCTTACAGCTTCATAGCGTTGACTCGCTTCATATTTCCCATATTAAAAAAACACTCGAGGTGAAAGCTATGTATATGTCAAATTGGTGTATCACAACACAATTCCTTTTAACGTAAGTGGTTTCCTACATAATATTTTAATTCCGTATTTAAGGAAAATACCCTTTCAGGCAGACCTTTTAGCAGATATTTTACAGTATACGAGTAACTAATGCATTACCGTAGAAACTAATTGCGAACTTCAAGTATTACTAGTATATTCCGATTCAGTGTTCAATCAAAAAAGCTGCTAACTGTTCATATGACTGTCTATCAACCAACAATTCCATAGAATGTATTATACAAGTTAGCTTATGTTATTTTAGACCGCAGACAGCATAGCGGTTCATCAGTACGGCATGGTGTTCTATAGTCTAATATAGATGCGTTTCCTTTTGAAGCACATGGCTATGAAACCTGCATCGTCGACCACAGTTTTCGGAGCTGCGAGTATGGGTGCTGTGGAAGTGGTTTCGACCGGTATTGTTGTAACGAGTGAGTTATTTCGTGTGTGAATTTGGCAATTTTTACTGCTCGTTGAATATGCGTGGCTTACATTTATCAAACTGAATATAGATTGAATGTGATTTGCCTGCCATCATGCCGAATACTATCCTTTTGTCAACTTGCAACTGAGGAAATATATATTTCTCAGGGAGGATAAGTCTTGTGCAAGTTTAAGTACGGTACCTTGTGTATCATACTCGCGTACTTGTGTTCAATACAAGTCAACTATTATAATACACTCACGTGTTTAACATTGTCTCGAAAGTAATGGGGTGGTGGGGTAGCCTTGTGGTTAAAGCGGTCGCCCATCACGCCGAAGATCCGAGTTCGATTATCCACGAGCTAAGAGCTGCGTAAAACCATTTTTACTCACTCACATGAAAGTAAGGTTAAGTTCAGTTTTGGCAGTCAATTCAAACTTGACACTTTGTGACCTACGCTAAAACGTATTTCATCTGCTAAGTTTTCCTATAAGCAGGAAATATAATAAACATCTTGGGGTTCCCATCCCCCTCTTGTACTGGATTCCAAAACTACATACAAATCCGTACAAGTAGAGATAATAATATTGTTGGTTCCAGCAAATCTACCACCAAATCCCTGTCTCAATGATCAACCGTAATCCTGAATACTATAAAGGAAGGACTTTCTCGATATTCACAGAAAGTTTTTTGGACAAGCGGAATTGATACCAAGTGGATTCTCATAAACTCAAAGGATTTGTTTACATGTTTACAATCTCAGAAACGGACCGAGTTCCGTTCTGTCAAAACATTTGCTTTTTTCAACATTGTATACCACTATCCCCCATGACAAACATAAGGAATGAACTTCATTCCTTGTTCCATTGGGCATTTGTAAACAAAGGTGGTGAACAAAGACATACCTACATATCTATCTTCAGAGGTTCAGGAGAATTTGTCAAAAATGAAAGCAAATATCATTTGAAGTTTACCGAGAAAACAATATGTGAAATGCTGGACTTTCTCATTGATAATATCTTTGTGAAATTATGGGGTAAAACATTTTGCCAAGACGTAGGCATCCCTATGGGCACCAATTGTGCTCCAATCCTTGCGGATCTGTTTCTTAATGCATATGAATCAGAATTTCTGCATGGATTGGCAAAATCCAAACAGAGTAATTTCGCCAAGAAGTTTAACTTAAGCATCCGTGATCTAGTATCATTCAATAACGATCATCAAATATCCAATTGCCTTCCAATGATTTACCCACCATAACCTGAAATTAAGGAGACATGTGAGACCGCCTCAACTGTTTCATAGTTAGATCTATGCATAAAGATTCAGAGTGACAAAAACTCTCCATAAGGCTGTATGACAAAAGGGATGATTTCAACTTTCCAATAGTCAACTTCCCTTTCATGTCGAGCAATATTCCTACATTCCAGCCTTTGGTGTTACATTTCACAACTTTTGAGATCCAATCGAGCGTGCACTTTTTACCAGGATTTCAAATAGCGTCATACCGATCTTGCTCAGGGCCCGGTTGTTCAAAGCACCGTTAATTTAACGTACCGTTAAACACAAACGACCCGTTAAATAGCTAACGAAAAGTTAGTTAACACTACGTTAAATTTGGTTGCTAGAAGATAATTTTAACAGGCCGTTAACTAATGGTATGATTAGAGGTTAACAGCCTGTTAAGGACCTAACCATTACCCACAATTCCTTGCTCACTGTCCCATGATTCCCTGTCAAAATGGCATCGCTGTCAAAAAGAACCTGAAATGATCAGCTCAGTAACATCTGACTGTAAGAAAAGAAAAAGAAGAAAACATTTCATCACCGATGAAGAAAATGTAATTCAGTCAATGTATCAAGAAAATGCTGAAATTTTAAGTAAAAAGTTCAGCAATGAGGTTACAAATAGGGCCAAGGCTGCCATCTGGCAACAAATAATTCTACTTCATTAAAGACAATAGAAAAATTTCTGAATTCCTTAGGTTTTCTTTGTGGTCTAATGTTCATGAATGCTGCATTACGCTGGACAATAAACGCCATGTTGTCACCATGCAGCTAGGTCTAGAACTAATGCTAATGGTAACGTTAGTGAGCTAATGTACCCCCTCCCCTTACGTTAAGTTAACGTGGTCTTAACGGGCCGTTAAAAGTTAACGGAGCTTTGAGCAACAGGCTTTCGCTCTCTTAACCTTAACGGTCCGTTAAAATTGAACAGGCTTTTGAACAACCGGCCCCAGAAGTTGTTTGGTCAAGGTTACAACATTCAAAGTCTCAGTAAAGCTTTCGAGGCGATTTATGGTAGACATGTGGAGGACATTTCCAAAATTGATGTATCCCTACCAGTGACAAAAACGATGCCCGATGCAATTCTCTATCTTGATCTATACCATACGTTCCCGACTTATTTCAGCTGAACAACTGACTAGATTTTGCATATCGTAATGACGGGTGCCACCGGTGGGCCAGTATACGTTCATCTTTTCGAGAACACCTGGTATCATCACTATTTCATAGTGATTCATAAACACCTGCTCTGTCTTCGTATCACATGCAGACACTCACTGGATTGTCTGTCCCAGACTTGATTTGTTTACAAACAACATCTTAAAGCTGTAAAACTGCTGAAACAAATAAATATTCGTGATATAGTCACAATTATACAACTGACTATGCTTTTAACAGATATTTCTGATGGATGTGGAAAGGGTTTTGTCGTTATTATTCTAAACTCAGTGAACACGAAGGAACTTGACTTGCTGTGCTTAACTGTTGAACCAGGTCTCACTACCTTAAATTCAGTAGGTTTCATGGTACAATTGTTCAACATTGCTCCGTCAACATTGTAGATAGATACTTTTCTCCTAAAAATCACAGATGTGAAATATGAACAAAGTACTTAATGAGGTAACATTAATATCACTGAAATGCATTTAATATTATCTGTTTCTTTTACAGAAACTCTATTCGCCTCTCCCTTCCAATTCCTGTGATAATAAGCATCACATTTGCATGTTTAATAATATGCTTCATCGTAACTTGCTGGTGCTGTGCGTGCTGTTGCAACGAGGCATCACGTGGCCAACGTGGACAGGCGATTGATAGTAACAATCAGATGCCTATGGTTGTAATGGGTATGTTCCAGCTTCATTGTACGTTTAACGTGTAGATTTGTATCAAAAGTATTGACTTGTACAGAAAGTATAGACTTGTATAGAAAGGTATAGAGTTGTATAGAAAGTAAAGAGTTGTATAGAAAGTATAGATTTGTACAGAAAGTATAGATTTGTATAGAAAGTATAGACTGGTGTAGAAAGTATAGATTTGTATAGAAAGTATAGACTTGTATAGAAAGTATAGATTTGTATAGAAAGTATAGATTTGTATAGAAAGTATAGATTTGTATAGAAAGTATAGACTGGTGTAGAAAGTACAGACTTGTATAGAAAGTATAGACTTGTATAGAAAGGTATAGAGTTGTATAGAAAGGTATAGAGTTGTATAGAAAGTATAGACTTGTATAGAAAGTATAGACATGTATGGAAAGTACAGACTTGTGTAGAAAGTACAAATTTGTATAGAAAGTATAGACTTGTATAGAAAGTATAGATTTGTATAGAAAGTATAGACTGGTGTAGAAAGTATAGATTTGTATAAAAAGAACAGACTTTTATAGAACGTATAGATTTGTATAGAAAGTATAGACTGGTGTAGAAAGTATAGACTGGTATAGAAAGTATTGACTTGTGTAGAAAGTATAGATTTGTATAGAAAGTATAGACTGGTGTAGAAAGTATAGATTTGTATAGAGAAAGTATAGACTGGTGTAGAAAGTATAGATTTGTATAGAAAGTATAGACTGGTGTAGAAAGTATAGATTTGTATAGAACAGTATAGACTGGTGTAGAAAGTATAGACTGGTATAGAAAGTATAGATTTGTATAGAAAGTATAGACTGGTGTAGAAAGTATAGACTTTGTATAGAAAGTATAGACTTGTATAGAAAGTATAGACTTGTATAGAAAGTATAGACTTGTATAGAAAGTATAGACTTGTATAGAAAGTACAGACTTGTGTAGAAAGTATAGATTTGTATAGAAAGTATAGATTTGTATAGAAAGTATAGACTAGTGTAGAGAGTAGAAAGTATAGACTTGTATAGAAAGTATAGACTGGTATAGAAAGTAAAGTAGACTGGTGTATAGAAAGTATAGACTGGTATAGAAAGTTTAGATTTGTATAGAAAGTATAGACTGGTATAGAAATTATAGACTGGTGTAGAAAGTATAGATTTGTATAGACTGGTGTAGATAGTATAGATTTGTATAGACTGGTGTAGATGGTATAGATTTGTATAGAAAGTATAGACTGGTATAGAAAGTATAGACTGGTGTAGAAAGTATAGACTGGTATAGAAAGTATAGATTTGTATAGAAAGTATAGACTGGTATAGATTTGTATAGAAAGTATAGACTGGTATAGAAAGTATAGATTGACTGGTGTATAGAAAGTATAGACTGGTTGTAGAGAAAGTATAGATTTGTATAGACTGGTGTAGATAGTATAGATTTGTATAGAAAAAGTATAGACTGGTATAGAAATTATAGACTGGTGTAGAAAGTATAGACTGGTGTAGAAAGTATAGATTTGTATATGAACTGGTTTAGAAAGTATAGATTTGTATAGAAATTATAGATTGTATAGAAAGTATAGACTGGTAAAAAAGTATTAGATTTGTATAGAAAGTATAGACTGGTGTAGAAAATATAGAAAGTATAGACTGGTGTAGAAAGTATAGACTGGTATAGAAAGTATAGATTGGTATAGTATAGACTGGTGTAGAAAGTATAGACTGGTATAGAAAGTATAGACTGGTATAGAAAGTATAGACTGGTGTAGAAAGTATAGACTGGTGTAGAAAGTATAGATTTGTATAGACTGGTGTAGATAGTATAGATTTTGTATAGACTGGTGTAGAAAGTATAGATTTGTATAGAAAGTATAGACTGGTGTAGAAAGTATAGATTTGTATAGAAAGTATAGACTGGTGTAGAAAGTATAGACTGGTGTAGAAAGTATAGACTGGTAAAGAAAGTATAGACTGGTATAGAAATTATAGATTTGTATAGAAAGTATAGACTGGTAAAGAAATTATAGATTTGTATAGAAAGTATAGACTGGTGTAGAAAATATAGACTGGTAAAGAAAGTATAGACTGGTGTAGAAAGTATAGACTGGTATAGAAATTATAGATTTGTATAGAAAGTATAGACTGGTGTAGAAAGTATAGATTTGTATAGAAAGTATAGACTGGTGTAGAAAGTATAGACTTGTGTAGAAAGTATAGATTTGTATAGAAAGTATAGATTTGTATAGAAAGTATAGACTGGTATAGAAAGTATAGATTTGTATAGAAAGTATAGACTGGTGTAGAAAGTATAGATTTGTATAGAAAGTTGTGTATATGGACTGGTATTTGTATAGAAAGTATAGATTTGTATAGAAAGAAGAAAGTATAGATTTGTATAGAAAGTATAGATACACTGATGTGTTGCCAAATATGATGAATGAATACAATATCGATAGTTTCTGTTTCTTTCTTTGCATTAAAAAATTTCTAAGGGAATGTAGTTGAGAACATTAATCCTATTAGTTCGTGTCAGCATAAAACGTCTGATAACATGTATAAAGTACTTCCCGGTAGCTGGCTGTTAGTTTCAGGGTACATTGTGTGGATGTTATCACTGTCCTCACCCGACACACACCGAGATCATGCAGATCAATAGATCATGTAAATCACACACATCACGTCAGGCACATGTAGGAATTTCAAAAAAAGAAGTAAATCACGTAAAACATGAAGGACAGGTGCTACCTCCACCGTGCACGATGCAAATATGCAAATATGCCTAGGACTCCGAGATATCCACACAGACAATTACAGGCAACTATCCAGCAGTATTAAACTTTCATACCCACCAGGTTTGTACAGACTTGTTTTGAAAGTATAGATGTGTATAAGAAGTATAGACTTGTACAGAAAGTATAGATTTGACTTATAGAAAGTAAGACTCGTACAGAAAGTATAGATGTGTATAGAAAGTATAGACTCGTACAGAAAGTATAGACATGTATAAGAAGTATAGATTTGTATTGAAAGTATAGATTTGTATAGAAAGTATAGACATGTATAAGAAGTATAGATTTGTATTGAAAGTATAGATTTGTATAGAAAGTATAGACTCGTACAGAAAGTATAGATGTGTATAGAAAGTAGAGGCTTGCATACAAAGTTTAGATTTGTGTAGAAAGTACAGACATGTACAAGAAGTATAAATTTGTATTAAGCATATATTTATATAGAAGTATAGACACATGTATAAAGATAGATTTGTATTGAAAGTTATATAGATTTGTATAGAAAAGTATAGACTCGTACAGAAATGTATTATCGAAAGTAGGAGACTTGCAGCATACAAAGTATAGATTTATTTTATAGAAGTATAGACTCGTATTGAAAGTATAGATGTGTATAGAAAGTATAAGACTCATTTAGAAAGTATGAACATGGCAAAAGTATAATTTGTATTGAAAGTATAGATTGTATAGAAAATATAGACATGTATAAAAGTATAGATGTGTATAGAAAGTATAGATTGTATAGAAAGTATAGACTCGTAGAAAGTATAGATGTATAAGTAGGAAGCCTGTATAAAGTTTGTGGTATGCAGAAAGTACAGACATACAGCAAGAAGTCGGTAAATTTGTACAGATATATATTGAAGTATAGTATAGATGTGTATAGAAAGTATAGACCCATTACAGAGATAGACTCGTATAGACTCGTATAGAAAGTAGAGACTTGCATACAAAGTACAGATTTGTGTAGAAAGTAAAGACTCGTATAAGAAGTATAAATTTGTATTGAAAGTATAGATTTGTATAGAAAGTATAGAATTGTATAGAAAGTATAGATTCGTACAGAAAGTATAGATGTGTATAGAAAGTAGAGACTTGCATACAAAGTATAGATTTGTTTTGAAAGTATAGACATGTATAAGAAGTATAAATTTGTATTGAAAGTATAGATTTGTATAGAAAGTATAGAATTGTACAGAAGGTATAGATGTGTATAGAAAGTAGAGACTTGCATACAAAGTATAGATTTGTGTAGAAAGCATGGATTTGTACAGAACGTATAGACTAGTATTGAAAGTATAAATTTGCATAGTGAGTAAAGATTTGTATAGAAAGTATAGGTTTGTATAGAAAGTATAGACTAAAGGCAACTATCTAGCGGTCTTTCATACCCACCAAAAATATTAAGATAACATTATTTGAATTAATGACCTAATCGGAAATCTGTACGTGTTACAATGCATAGAAATACCAATTATTATAGATTTTTGTTCAGTTTTATTTTTGTTTGGGAATACAGGTTCTCTGGTAATAACTAAATTTACAGATTTTTTAAGCCTTCTGTCTACCAAAATGACGTTTGACTAAGCTCGCGTACAATGTAGATCACGTAAATAATGTACATAGTAGATCACATAGATCATGTACACTGAAGATCACCTGAATATACGTGGAGCATATACAGAGTAGAAATGTAAACCACGTAGATCATGTACCACGTAGATTACGTAGAACATGCACAAAGTAGATCACATAGATCATGCACAATGTAGATCACATACAAGATCATGCACAATGTAGATCATGAACAATGTAGATTACATAGATCATGCATAATGTAGATCATGCACAATGTAGATCATGCACAATGTTCATCACATAGATCATGCACAATGTAGATCACGTAGATCATGTACCATGTGGATCACACAGATCATGCACAATGTAGATCACGTAGATCATGTACAATGTTGATCACATAGATCATGCACAATGTAGATCACGTAGATCATGTACCATGTGGATCACACAGATCATGCACAATGTAGATCATGCAGATCATGTAGATCACGTAGATCATGCACAATGTAGATCACGCACAATGTACATCATGTAGATCATGCACAATGTAGATCACGTAGATCATGTACCATGTGGATCACATAGATCATGCACAATGTAGATCACGTAGATCATGTACCATGTGGATCACACAGATCATGCACAATGTAGATCATGCACAATGTAGATCATGTAGATCATGCACAATGTAGATCATGATCATGTAATGTAGATCACGTAGATCATGTACACAATGGATCAGATCATAGATCATGCACAATGTAGATCACGTAGATCATGCACAATGTGGCATGTAGATCACATAGATCATGCACAATGTAGATCACGTAGATCATGTACCATGTGGATCACATAGATCATGCACAATGTAGATCATAGATCATACATGTAGATCATGCACAATGTAGATCACATAGATCATGCACAATGTAGATCATGCACAATGTAGATCATGCACAATGTAGATGTAGATCATGCACAATGTAGATCATGCAGAATGTAGATCATAGATCATGCACAATGTAGATCACGTAGATCATGTACCATGTGGATCCACATAGATCATGCATAATGAGATCATGTGCGCTCATGCATGTCATGCACAATGTAGATCATGTAGATCATGCAATGTAGATCACATAGACATGCACAAAATGATCACGTAGATCATGTCATCATGTGGACCACATAGATCATGCAGAATGTAGATCACATAGATCATGCACAATGTAGATCATGTAGATCATGCAATGATCATGCACAGCACAGATCATGCACAATGTAGATCACATAGATCATGCACAATGTAGTTCACATAGATCATGCACAAAATTGTAGATCACGTAGATCATGAACATGTGGACCACATAGATCATACAGAATGTAGATCACATAGATCATGCACAATGTAGATCATGTAGATCATATACCATGTGGATCGCACAGATCATGCACAATGTAGATCACAGATCATGCACAATGTAGATCACATATCATGCACAATGTAGATCATGCACAATGTAGATCACATAGATCATGCACACGTAGATCATGCATGTAGATCACGTAGATCATGTACCATGTAGATTACGCAGATCCAGTATCATGTAAAATTCATGCGGACCATGAATATGTGTAAACTAAATTATATACTCATGCCAATAATGGTTGTCCCCCCCTTCAATTTTATTAATAGGCTGGTGGGTGACAACCTTTATTGGCATGAATATATATACATGATTGTAAATATCACGTGTGCATGCATATACATTTTAGTTGTTTACCCATTGTACCCATAGTGTATGTATGTGCATGCGTGAGTGCGTGTCTGTATAATCTACACAATCCACATATATACTTCTGGGCAAACCTAAAAACGCCTGGTCACTGGTCATCTGTGTTATCAGGTACACAAAACGCTGCCTACGCCCCTGGAGAGGCCTACCCCCCTGTATCGGGAACTGCAGGGACGGCATTCCCCTCACAGTCCTACCCTATGATGGATGCGTATTACCCAACAGGAACCGTTGCAGGCACAGATTTCCCCTCGACGGGTCACTAACCCTTTTTGTTCAATTCATTCTGGTCATGCACAACGCTACTGTATATACTGACGAAAAAGGAAAGGGAAAAGCAAAATTCGTAGTGTTCTTGTTTTGGTTTTAAAAATGAAAATATGTATGGCATTAGAAACTCATTTTCTATGCTTATGAGTCTAAGAAGTTAAAACGTGCGTGAAGTTAATTTTTCAACTGATTTTTATTGTAATAATGGTATACAATAGTACATTCATTCCGGGAGATTAAGTAAAAAAACAAAAAAACGTTGAGAGCATCCAGTTACTTATTTCATGTTTGTTATATTTATCACTAGTGTATGTGCAGATCATATCTGAATAGTGACGCTTAACATGGAGATTTGAACTATTTAAGTGGTTGTGGTTGTTGACATTATAAACTGAGAGTGCAATTTCGTCTCGTTTTGTCAACTGTGTTTTGCATATATCTACATATACAGAAATGCACGGAACAGAACGTGAAAGTTACTGGTCATCTGTGTTATCCAGGTACACAAAACGCTGCCTACGCCCCTGGAGAGGTCTACCCCCCTGTATCGGGAACTGCAGGGACGGCATTCCCCCCATAGCCCTACCCTACGATGGATGCGTATCACCCAGGAACCGTGGCAAGCACAGATTTCCCCTAACCCTACACGTTTAAATCACTCTGGCCATTCACAACGCTATTATAATACTGACGGGAAAAAGAAAGGGAACAGAGCAAAACGATTGTTGAATCTTCCTCACTACTGTACATAAAGTGATTGTACGCCAATAACTTTTACCGGGCTTTTAACACTGACATCAAGATTATTATTACTACTATTTTTTCTTCTTCTTATTGTTGCTATTGCTGCAGCTTCTATTAATAGTGGTGCGATGGGGAAGCCTAGTGGATAAAGCGTTTGCTCATTACGCCGAAGGCCCGGGTTCTATTCCCCTCATGGGTATAATGTGTGAAGCCCATTTCTGGTGTCCCCTGAAGTCACTGTACCTAAGGTGATGCTGGTAACGCCCGTTACCAACATCCCAGCATGGCGGCAGGTAAGATCGCTTAGCAAGTTAGGTTGACAGACTGTATAGCTTTATATATTCAGCCCTGCCCAATAAATGCACGGTGTAAAATGTACTTTAAACGTCAATATTGCAACGAAATCAACATGTCAAATGTCCGAATTGAGGAGGGACAGAGAAAAAGCTCTCCGCGTAATGGACAATGGGCACACACATCTAATCCATTCAAGTTCAATGAAACGCCACAACAATTCTCCGGCGCACAGAAAAAGTCGCTCATACTGTTAATGTAGCAGCACTACACATCTGTGTAAAAACATAAGAACTGATATTTGTGTCTCCTTTGTGTTTAAAAATAACTCGACAATTTCTGTTTACCGACTAAAGCAAGACAGTATGCGTTACCAGCATCATTCTTTGCACGTTACCGACATCCAGACTTTGAGTTACCCACATCCTCGCGCGATTTTAAAAATGCTTATTCTTCAACACATAGGCATTAATAAGCAAATTCAGTGTATTGAATGTATTTCCACCATCAATGTTTATCAGTGTGCTAAATAATGTTGATTGTATACACGTGGAAGGCTGCTTATTCGAGGGGAATAATCACCAAGCGATCTTACCTGCTGGGATCACCTTAGGTACAGTGTGAAGTGATATTGCTGAGTAATGCTAAAAGGGGCGCAAAACTATACCCACTCACTCACTCTGTTAATACTACAGAGTACACACATGGGGTATGAGGTCGCTTTAGAATATATTATATATGCGCAATAAACAAGATTTGTCATCCATAAAGTTGTGTCCTTCATCATCACCTAACCACGGTGGTAGTGTGTGGTCCCGTGCGTAGAGCTCGGGTCACAAATCACGTCACGTAAAGCAACGTTGAGAGCAGAGAGTTTGCAATGGCAGCTTGACTAGTGAGAGTTTCTGGGACTTCCGTCCTGCCCCACAACAAAGCACATGTGATACATACTGATTTTGATAAACACGGTTTCACCTCAGTAAAGCGCACGTGACACACGTGGTCTCACCTTAGGCAAGTGAGTTTGTTCACAAATGCCTCTGTTCACCCAGCAGAAAATGGGTACCCGGTGGGATAAGTCATGTGACTATTAACCTTCTAGCGCCTCAGTTACCCATGCTTGGGTTATCCGGGGTAATAATATTAATAATCAGATTGTTGTTAGCGCTATGAGCATTCGCCCAGTGAATGGAGTTTAGCGCATTATAAATGACACTTGTTATTATTACATATCCAAGTTAATATTTTATTGAGTATATATGCATACCACAGTTTACATTTCGTCTAAGTACTCGCGTCCTTTAGATGTACCCGCACTCGCCCCAGTTATTCATTGATTATTTTCCACCAGGCAGTAGACAAGAAGATAGTTCTCTTATTTTCTTGACTTAACGTTATCACAATCACTCAGAATTGTTATCGTTAGCGACATATTTAAGTCTTGCTTGAGTCATAATCGGTGGCAACTCCTAATACAATAAAATCATGTTAACCATCATTATGTCTGTTAACATATAGGCAAGCTGTGCATCAAAAGCAGTTTATAGGCAAGCTGTGCATCAAAACGATTTAATACCCGTGAAGGACCGGGTTAGAATATTGATCTTCAGTAACCCATGCTTGTCGTAAGAGGCGACTGACGGGATCGGGTGGTCAGGCTCGCTGACTTGGTTGACACATGTCATCAGTTCCCAATATATTGCGAAAATCGATGCTCATGCTGTTGATCATTCGATTGTCTTGTCCAGACTCGATTATTTACAGACCGCCGCCATATAGTTGGAATATTGCTGAGTGCGGCGTAAAACTAAACTCACTCAATCACTCACTGCTTTGTTTGCTATCTGTGTGTGTCCTAGGTGAATGTATGTGCATAGAGTAGACGCGAAAGAGCGCGTGATCAACTTAATCGGTATTGTTAGTGTTGTTCATTCTGGTCGGTATTGTTAGTGTTGTTCATCCTGATCGGTATTGTTAGTGTTGTTCATCCTAGTCGGTATTGTTAGTGTTGCATCCTGCTCGGTATTGCTAGTGTTGTTCATCCTGCTCGGTATTGTTAGTGTTGTTCATCCTGATCGGTATTGTTAGTGTTGTTCATCCTGGTCGGTATTGTTAGTGTTGTTCATCCTGATCGGTATTGTTAGTGTTATTCATCCTGGTCGGTATTGTTAGTGTTGTTCATCCTGGTCGGTATTGTTGTTCATCCTGTTCGGTATTCATCCTGATCGGTATTGTTAGTGTTGTTCATCCTGATCGGTATTGTTATGTTGGTCGGTATTGTTGACATCAGATTGATTGTTCTCCTGTCGGTATTGTTAGTGTTGTTCATCCTGATCGGTATTGTTAGTGTTAGTTTGTTCATCCTGATCGGTATTGTTAGTGTTGTTCATCCTGGTATTGTTGTTAGTGTTGTTCATCCTGATCGGTAGTCGGTATTGTTGGTCGGTATTGCTTAGTGTTCATCCTGAGTGTTGTTTGTTCATCCTGATCGTCGGTATTGTTAGTGTTGTTCATCCTGATCGGTATTGCTAGTGTTGTTCATCCTGATCGGTCGTTAGTGTTCCTGTTAGTGTTGTTCATCATCTGATCGGTATTGTTAGTGTTGTTCATCCTGCTCAGTGTTGTTCATCCTGATCGGTATTGTTATTGTAGTTTGTTCATCCTGATCGGTATTGTTAGTGTTGTTCATCCTGATCGGTATTGCTAGTGTTGTTCATCCTTGTCGGTATTGTTAGTGTTCATTGTGTTGTTCATCCTGGTCGGTATTGTTAGTGTTGTTCATCCTGATCGGTATTGTTAGTGTTGTTCATCCTGATCGGTATTGTTAGTGTTGTTCATCCTGGTCGGTATTGTTAGTGTTGTTCATCCTGATCGGTATTGTTAGTGTTGTTCATCCTGATCGGTATTGTTAGTGTTGTTCATCCTGGTCGGTATTGTTAGTGTTGTTCATCCTGATCGGTATTGTTAGTGTTGTTCATCCTGATCGGTATTGTTAGTGTTGTTCATCCTGGTCGGTATTGTGTTGATGTTCATCCTGATCGGTATTGTTAGTGTTGTTCATCCTGATCGGTATTGTTGAGTGTTAGTGTTGTTCATCCTGATCGGTATTGATTAGTGTTGTTCATCCTGATCGGTATTGTTAGTGTTGTTCATCCTGATCGGTATTGTTTAGTGTTTGTTCATCCTGGTCGGTATTGGTGTTGTTCATCCTGTATCCTGATCGGTATTACTAGTGTTGTTCATCCTGGTCGGTATTGTTAGTGTTGTTCATCCTGGTCGGTATTGTTAGTTGGTGAGTTGTTCATCCTGATCGGTATTGTTGGTGTTGTTCATCCTGATTCATCCCTAGTCGGTATTGTTAGTGTTGTTCATCCTTGTCAGTATTGTTAGTGTTATTGTTCATCCTTGTCGGTATTATTCCAGTGTCATCCTGGTCGGTATTGTTAGTGTTGTTCATCCTGGTCGGTATTGTTAGTGTTGTTCATCCTGATCGGTATTGTTAGTGTTGTTCATCCTTGTCGGTATTGTTAGTGTTGTTCATCCTGATCGGTATTGTTAGTGTTGTTCATCCTGATCGGTATTGTTAGTGTTGTTCATCCTGATCGGTATTGCTAGTGTTGTTCATCCTAGTCGGATTGTTAGTGTTGTTCATCCTGATCGGTATTGTTAGTGTTGTTCATCCTGGTCGGTATTGTTAGTGTTGTTCATCCTGATCGGTATTGCTAGTGTTGTTCATCCTGGTCGGTATTGTTAGTGTTGTTCATCCTGGTCGGTATTGTTAGTGTTGTTCATCCTGGTCGGTATTGCTAGTGTTGTCCTTTTATTACACGTTCCATAAGTATGTCACACAGGTCAAATATTTACCACTGAATGGTGTACGTTTAATGCAACAAAAATAGGTAGTTTATTCACTGAGTAAAATTTGTGACATGTTATAAACAAAACGACCAGCAGCAATCATTGATCCAGGAGCTGGATGCACCATTCACCTTTTCCTCACTGGCTGTCGTAGAATCGACAGCTTCTTTAACTTTCTTTCCTCCCTTTCTTGTGCCAGTTGTTTCAACACATGAATGTTTTAATCGTTTAGGAAGATATGTTATTGGGGTATTTATATATATTAATATGCGTGTTATCTAAATGTTTAAAAAAAATTGTATTTCAAAAGTTATACTTCATTACGTTATCATATGAACAAATGCATTGAATTTCACAGTAATAGATTTCTCTTCACCAACGGTAGACCTGTTATCTGCCTTGTGTACTGAGGTCCATCAATCGTGCACCAAATAAGCAGTCCTACGTTACGCACGTAGCTAATAAATGTGTTGAAGAAAATGTATACAGCTAAATTTAGATATTAGGGTTAGGCATTTACAGAGTGTTAACACAAGACCGGGTCTTTGTTGAATGCACCACTGAGGGTATGTCTCATATCAGTATCTTGCGTAACGAATGAGTTAGCTACAAGGAAGTTGTATGTCAAAGGGACAGAACTTTGTCGCCACCCAAATAGAACACGATGGCACGTATAGAGATTGGATTTACTTTTCTGATGTTGGCTGTTGTTTGTGAGTATTAAATGGTCAACATATTTGTACCTCTACTGATCAAATATGATTGAGGTGTAGACATGTGTCTTGGTAGTAATATGTCATTGCTGAACCATGACGGGGTGTGTAGCGTAGTGTGGTGTGGTGTGGTGTGGTGTGGTGTGGTGTGGTGTGGTGTGGTGTGGTGTGGTGTGGTGTGGTGTGGTGTGGTGTGGTGTGGTGTGGTGTGGTGTGGTGTGGTGTGGTGTGGTGTGGTGTGGTGTGGTGTGGTGTGGTGTGGTGTAGGTGTGGTGTGGTGTGGTGTAGTGTGGTGTGGTGTGGTGTTGTGTTGTGTGGTGTGTATGTGTGTGTGGTGTGTGGTGTGGCGTAGTGTGGTGGTGTAGTGTGGTGTGGTGTGTGGTGTGGTGTGGTGTGTGCGTGGTGTGTGTGTGTGTGGTGTGGTGTGGTGTACTGTGGTGTGGTGTAGTATGGTGTGGTGTGGTGTGGTGTGGTGTGGTGTAGAGAAGAGTGGTGTAGTGTAGTGTGGTGTTGTGTTGTGTTGTGTGGTGTACTGTGGTGTGGTGTTGTGTGGTGTGATGTGGTGTGGTGTAGAGAAGTGTGGTGTAGTGTAGTATGGTGTGGTGTTGTGTTGTGTGGTGTGGCGTGGTGTGGTGTGGTGTGACGTGGCGTGGCGTGGCGTGGCGTGGCGTGGCGTGGCGTGGTGTGGTGTGGTGTGGTGTGGTGTGGTGTGGTGTAGTGTACTGCAGAGTGGTGTGGTATGGCGTAGTCTTGTGTGTTGCAATATGAAATATCGAATCAAGCAGAACAAAAGCCGCCACGCAAATACAAGAATCAGCTAAACCACCCGCTTACAATAATATATATGCTTTCCCAAAATAGCGAATCATGATATAAATTTCAGTCTCATTGTTCAGCGTGCTGTAAACACAAAACGGTTTACAATTTACAATTGACTCTGCTTTTAGCAGCCATTTCTTCTGGATGTGGAAAAGGTTTTTGTCGGTTCCAATGCAGTGTCTACACGTAGTTTTCCTTCACAATGATCACATGATTGTAATAGTCCTGACAAAGCTCACATTTCATTTTGTAGACCTGGCTATTTATGTTTCCTTGCTGTAAAATATTCAAATTCTCACACAACTGTCAATCGTTTTTTCCTCTTTACATCAACAGATATCTGCATTGTAGAATTTTGTAATTTTCACTGATATTTTCGTATGATAATCCAAGTGTACTTTAATAATACATTACGCAAGCATGACTTTTAAAAAATAGCAGCCATTATAGTATTTATGCATAAGTATAATCTGTGTATATATAAAAGCAAATGCATAAGCATATCTACATGCCATGATTATTGGGCTAGATTCGAATGTATGTCATCGTAACAATATTTGATTTGGGCATATTGATTCCTAAACAAACAGACATAATGCTACAGTCTAATGCTTCATCACCACGTGGGTGAGTACAAATACACTCAGTAATCCGATAACTGTTTACAATAAAAATCACACTGAAACTCACACCTTGTGTGAGTAAATGACGTAAGACTGCGGTAGCCAACAATACAGAGATACACAGGCAGTTGGCCAGACAATAACACCAGCAGTACAGAAAGCAACTATCTAACACAACATGCATCCACTGACATCAAGATTATTATTACTGCTATTTTTCTTATTATTATTGTTGTTATTGCTGCAACTTCTATTAATAGGGGTGCGATGGGGTAGCCTAGTGGTTAAAGCGTTCGCTCGTCACGCTGAAAACCCGGGTTCAATTCCCCACATGGGTTCAATGTGTGAAGCCCAATTCTGGTATCCCCCTCCGTGATATTGCTGGAATATTGCTAAAAGCGGCATAAAACTAAACTCACTCACCCCAAGTTTCAGTGTCGAGACTTCAGTGGTGATCATCAGGAGACAAACAGTAGCAGTCCGGCCTCGCATGGAGTCACTGAAAGTGTTGACCCCTGCTCATACCGTCTTTATAAAAAGAAAGTGCGGACTTCGGAGAAGACACCTGTCTCTTTGGTCGCCTAACTAAACCTGGCCAGCTGATTATCAGAATGTACATTTAGATGTAGTGAGAATAATCTTTACAGTTGGTAACTAGCAAAACCATACAAAACAATGGCAAGTTGAGGCAAAAGCACAATACTGAACGGTAGCAGAGCTGTGCAGAAAACACGCTCACTAACAAGAGTAGAACATGAATACACGTGAACTGGTGTGTGGCAGGTATGTGTCTGGTCTATTTAAATTTGGTAAACGTATATTCTGATATTGCCTTACTTCACTAGAAACCCGACCATAGCGTACATTAATAGTTATCCCACGATAACTGAAATATTATTCCAGATTCCCCAGGAACACGCTTGCTGTAGTCTAACTGTAATTTTCTATCATGCAGCTTTCTGATTGTTTATCGAGTTAGAATTAGAAGAGGGCATGGGCTTTTGGTCGCCATCGCTGAGCGCGGTCCGTTTACCTTCATATTGCTGTACGATGTAAAATATAAGCACTTGCATTTTACAGCAAGTGAGTGAGTGAGTTTAGTTTTACGTCGCACTTAGCAATATCACAGCTATATGGCGGCGGTCTGTGAATAATCGAGTCTGGACCAGACAATCGAGTCATCAACAGCATGAGCATCGAACTACGCAATTGGGATACGATGACATGTGCGAGCCTGACCACCCGATCCCGTTAGTCGCCTCTTACGACAAGCATGGGTTGCTGGAGATTAATTCTACCCGGATCTTCACGGGTTTATACGGCAATTGTCTTATGAAAGGAATCATGTATCATTTCTTGTTAGAAGACATTCTATTCATTTCTCTGATGCATATTAAGTGCGAAGCAGATTTGGATAGGGAATCTACTAGGAATACAGCCTGTAGCTTTGCGTAGCGACAAGTCAGTAAACCAGTTGTGTTGTGTTTTGGGTTACTCACAGATGAAACATCACATTTCTCTTTTCAATACAGCTCAAGCTTCGGAAACATGCCTCAAGTCTATTTCTGGGAGACCTTCTAGTGGAGTGAGCACGTATTTGCATTGTCCGAGCCAGTGTTGTGATGGACAAGCTACGAGATATTGTTGTAGGAAAGAAAGGTTGGTACATCGTCACACGACAGTTATGCGCTTGATTTGACATGTGAAACGAAACAAATCTTTTACCTCCAGGTTACCACTCGATACAACTCAACAAATATCGGGAAAACATTAAATGATTAATCAAACCATAACATTTGCGTGCGTGCGTGTGCGCGTACGCGCAGGCAGGTAGGTATGTAGATGTCGGGTTGCTCTATTTCTCTGTCTGCGTTATTTATGTACCATATCTGCATTATCTGGGTGTAGCGAGCCTGACCACCCGATCCCGTTATATATGGGATATATATACTGCAGACCTGTAAAGGTCCGGGTAAGAATGAAACTTCAGTAACCCATGCTTGTCGTAAGAGGCGACTAACGGGATCGGGTGGTCAGGCTCGCTGGCTTGGTTGACATATGTCATCGGTTCCCAATTGTGCAGATCGATGCTCATGCTGTTGATTACTGGATTGTCTGGTCCAGATAGACCGCCGTCATATAGGTGGAATATTGCTGAGTGTGGCGTAAAACTAAACTCACTCACTCACTATACATACTGCAAGACATACATATTACATATATTATGTCTGTATGACGCAATGCGCAATGGGGAACCCATGATGTGTCAACCAAGCCAGCGAGCTTGACCACCCGTACCCATTAGTTGCCTCTTACAAGTATATATATATATATACTTTTATTTGCTGCTGAGTATATATATATAACGTCAGTACGAATTCAAAACGTCAGCAACATAAACGTCAGTACGAATTCAAAATTAGATAGGCACTTTAATCAAACCATTACAGAAATGGACATGATAAGCGGATCAAAAACATTTTTTGTGTACAATATCTTGACACATCAATGAATAACACAATTTCAAGACATTACGTCAACGTTTGCATTCCATTCAGACTCTTTACTTCAGTATCTAGTCTGACTACCACGAGCGGCAATAACTTCAGCACAGCGTCTGTGCATGGAGTGCACCAATCGATTGATGAAGGCCATTGGCACCTGTCGGCGTACTGCATCAGTACTGATTGGTCATCCGTGTGTTCCCACTGTCTGGCGTGCTGTTTCGGATGCCTGCATGAAGGGATTCTGTACATGCTGTCGCACAACATGGCGGTCTTGTCGTCTTGTGGTCACCCTTGGTCTGCCAGTACGGGGGCGACCATTTGTGGTGTTGGTGGCCCGGAAACATTGCTGCAGCCTGTAGATGGTCCGAACGTTGACCTGTAAGTGATTGGCAACGGCGTGTGCAGTGTGGCCAGCTTCAAGTCTTCCTAGCGCCTTGTTCCTCTGTGCTATCGTGAGTCGCGGTATCCTGCGACGTTGTAATGTGAATGTTTCAACCAGGTTTGGGGTTGCATTTTATAGGGCTGGTCCTTGTGAACAGCACGTGCAGCATGAGTTCCAAAAAAAAACATTTCCTGGGTTCGATTCTGAGTTTGGGAAGGAATGTCTTTGCTCTGGTAAAGTTGTCAAAAATATACAATCAAAACATTAAATGAGTTTACAGCTATCCGTTTCTGCGACGGAAAATTCCAAACTGACATTTCTTTTGCTGCTTAGCACACACACACACACACACACGTCATACAGACATAATATACAAATAATGTATATAATATATATGTCTTGCAGTTTTCCTGTTGCTGGAATAGCTGGGATCGCCATTGCAACAGGAGTTGTCATCTTCATCGTCTCGTGTGCTGTGCGTCATTGGCGTAAGTCAAAGAGGACACAAGAGCAAAGAAGCGACTCAACTCTATTTACAGGTAACTATATTTATGTACACCATAGTATACAAGAGAATGTTGCTGTATGTATTTGTACGTTTATATCACACGTGACATATAGTTCAACATTGTTAGTAGCTTGTCATACTATATGTATGTATGTATGTATGTATGTATGTATGTATGTATGTATGTATGTATGTATGTATGTATGTATGTATGTATGTATGTATGTATGTATGTATGTATGTATGTATGTATACAGTACAACCAGAAATTATTGAGAATTTAAGATTGTAATTATTTTTAAAAACATCACTGATTACTCACGTATTAAATGTGAATATTAGCAGAACATAACTCCAGATTCAAAGACAGGTGAACAGTTAGTATTTTGTTAGTCACCATGGGCAGCAATGCAGGCTTCAATGCGGCGGGGCATACTACTGATCAAAAAAGTTAGAAAGTCGTGGTCCATGCTGTCCCAATATCGGACCACCTCTTCTTTCATTTCAGCAATATTTGTCAGATTTTTCTCATTGACACTTTCCTTCATAAGTCCCCAAACATTTTCTATTGGAATTAGGCCAGGGCTATAGCTTGACCAATCTAATAATGTCATATTTTGGGTCCGAAACCAGGCCTCTGAATGCTTTGAACGATGTTTTGGGTCGTTGTCCTGCTGGAAAATAAAAAATCTCCATAGAACATGTGAGCAGATTGAAGTAAATGTCTCTCGAGAATATCTGTGTACCGCTCACTGTTCATATTCCCTTCAAATACACAGAGGGGCGTTGCCCCTAACACAGATATGCCACCCCACACGTTAAATTTCGGACTGTACTTTGGGCGCTGATACAAAGGTTTTTCAGTTTGTTTGGTCCAGAATTTCAGTGTATTAGGAAACAGCCACACAGAACTTTCATCTGAGAAAATCACATTGTCCCAGTTCAAATTTCTATGCTGTAAGCACCAGTTCAACCTTCGCTCCTTTTGTTCAGGTTTCATGATCGGTGATGGAATTCCTCGACTCTTCTGCCAAACCATTGCATGCAGCTCAGTTCTAGTTGTCTCCCTACAGACAGCCACAGTTCCTCTATCAATCATATCCAGCCTTAAGTTTTCTAAACTCCTTCGTTTGTTTTTAGAAACAAGAATACCAAACCGCCTCCTGTCACCGACAGTCAATTTTCTGGGCCTACCTGCGCCTCCCTGGTGCTCAATGCCATATCCATTTGCAATATTTTTCAAAACACGATAAACAGTGGACAAAGGGATGCCTGTTCTACTTGAAATTACTTTAGCTGATCTGATGTCCTTGTTATGATACTCTAAAATCAACTTTCTCTTCTCTAAATCATCTATACTTAGGATCACTGAAAATGGCGTCTGCTAGCAAGTAAACAAAGAGTATAACTTTTCACAAACTAATGAAAAAGGATTAACAGAGTTGTCTCTCTTGAATGAAACCACGCACTTGATAGCTGGTCAAGGCTGTTTATACTAAAAATCCAATTAAACATATTCCTAAAATTCTCAATAATTTCTTGTCATACTATATGTATGTATGTATGTATGTATGTATGTATGTATGTATGTATGTATGTATGTATGTATGTATGTATGTATGTATGTATGTATGTATGTATGTATGTATGTATGTATGTATGTATGTATGTATGTATACAGTACAACCAGAAATTATTGAGAATTTAAGATTGTAATTATTTTTAAAAACATCACTGATTACTCACGTATTAAATGTGAATATTAGCAGAACATAACTCCAGATTCAAAGACAGGTGAACAGTTAGTATTTTGTTAGTCACCATGGGCAGCAATGCAGGCTTCAATGCGGCGGGGCATACTACTGATCAAAAAAGTTAGAAAGTCGTGGTCCATGCTGTCCCAATATCGGACCACCTCTTCTTTCATTTCAGCAATATTTGTCAGATTTTTCTCATTGACACTTTCCTTCATAAGTCCCCAAACATTTTCTATTGGAATTAGGCCAGGGCTATAGCTTGACCAATCTAATAATGTCATATTTTGGGTCCGAAACCAGGCCTCTGAATGCTTTGAACGATGTTTTGGGTCGTTGTCCTGCTGGAAAATAAAAAATCTCCATAGAACATGTGAGCAGATTGAAGTAAATGTCTCTCGAGAATATCTGTGTACCGCTCACTGTTCATATTCCCTTCAAATACACAGAGGGGCGTTGCCCCTAACACAGATATGCCACCCCACACGTTAAATTTCGGACTGTACTTTGGGCGCTGATACAAAGGTTTTTCAGTTTGTTTGGTCCAGAATTTCAGTGTATTAGGAAACAGCCACACAGAACTTTCATCTGAGAAAATCACATTGTCCCAGTTAGAATTTCTATGGTGTAAGCTCTTGTTCAACCTTCGCTCCTTTTGTTCAGGTTTCATGATCGGTGATGGAATTCCTCGACTTTTCTACCAACCAATTGCATGCAGCTCAGTTCTAATTGTCTCCCTACAGACAGCCACAGTTCCTCTATCAATCATATCCAGCCTTAAGTTTTCTAAACTCCTTCGTTTGTTTTTAGAAACAAGAATATCAAGCCGCCTCCTGTCACCGACAGTCAATTTTCTGGGCCTACCTGCGCCTCCCTGGTGCTCAATGCCATATCTATTTGCAATATTTTTCAAAATACGATAAACAGTGGACAAAGGGATGCCTGTTCTACTTGAAATTACTTTAGCTGATCTGATGTCCTTGTTATGATACTCTAAAATCAACTTTCTCTTCTCTAAATCATCTATACTTAGGATCACTGAAAATGGCGTCTGCTAGCAAGTAAACAAAGAGTATAACTTTTCACAAACTAATGAAAAAGGATTAACAGAGTTGTCTCTCTTGAATAAAACCAAGCACTTGATAGCTGGTCAAGGCTGTTTATACTAAAAATCCAATTAAACATATTCCTAAAATTCTCAATAATTTCTTGTCATACTTTATGTATGTATGTATGTATGTATGTATGTATGTATGTATGTATGTATGTATGTATGTATGTATGTATGTATGTATGTATGTATGTATGTATGTATGTATGTATGTATGTATGTAGGTAGGTAGGTAGGTAGGTAGGTAGGTAGGTAGGTATGTAGGTATGTAGGTAGGTAGGTAGGTATGTATGTAGGTAGGTATGTAGGTAGACATGCATGCATGTGTGTATGGATGCGTGTGTTTTTGGTGTGCCATAAGATAATCACTCTCCGTTTTAATCTTGGTTTAGTTCAGACAACACCCACAGGACCATCACCTGCCGAATATACAGGACCACCGTCTTATGATGAATGCGTGAGCAAGACGCCACCGCCTCCTCCACCCTATAACAGTGTCGTAGATGCCGTATCTGACAGGGGTTGCTGATGCTGGTCGTGCAGGACGTTCAGTTCACCACCAAAGAAAGCATCATTCTCTCATTCATTCATTCAGTCATAACACTGGGTTCTCCACCATTGCTACAAATTTATTGAGTTAACCTGCATTACAATTACCCCATTGTTATTACTAATAATCTGCATGTTGAACTGGCAAGTACTATTATAATCACATGTATGTGGGCAATGTTCATGTGTAAAAGAATCGATATCCATCCATGTGTGTTCTAAAAACAGCTTGATCTACGTGGGATACTTACTGTGACATATTTACTTGTAAACAGATTAAACGTCCAATATGATTTATAAATTCCCTGTTTCGAGTCACAGAGCTTCAAAGTTAATTAACAATACTGCAGCCGAAGCAAAATTATGAGTCCTTTGATGGGATTCGAATCTCGAACTTTCACAGATAAACATATTGTTCACATGGCCCAAAATGTTAACCCTCTCAGCAAGCATGCTGGAGTATTTGCTGTTTCCACGACGTGCTGCAATCGACAGCAGGAGATTACAGGTCATTGATGTTATTATATTGTGTGTCTACCTGTGTTCTGATGATATAAAACATGTAAGTACATACACAGTTGTATTTTGTGCCAATAAAGACATTTTTGATAATATTTTAGTTGAATACAGTATGACACAGGACGATAGGAATGAAATAGCGAAGACGTAAGTGACTCTTTTTGCAGCATGTTTTAGGTCTTTGCACTAGATTAAACGTCAAATTAATTAATTGTTTTCAGTGTTTGCACTAGGTTAATCGCAAAATGAATTAATTGTTTCCATTGTTTGCACGAGGTTAATCGTCAAATTGTCAATTAATTGTTTTCAGTGTTTGCACTAGGTTAGGTTAATCGTTAATTGTTTTCAGTGTTTGCACTATTAATCGAAATTAATTAATTGTTTTTGTTTGCAGTGTTTGCACTAAGTTAGTCGTCAAATTAATTAATTGTTTTTAGTGTTTGCACTAGGTTAATCGTCAAATTAATTAATTGTTTTCAGTGTTTGCACTAAGTTAATCGTCAAATTAATTAATTGTTTCCATTGTTTGCACGAGGTTAATCGTCAAATTAATTAATTGTTTTCAGTGTTTGCACTAGGTTAATCGTCAAATTAATAAGTTAGTCGTCAAATTAATTAATTGTTTTAAGTGTTTGCACTAGGTTAATCGTCAAATTAATTAATTGTTTCCATTGTTTGCACGAGGTTAATCGTCAAATTAATTAATTGTTTTCAGTGTTTGCACTAGGTTAATCGTCAAATTAATTAATTGTTTTCAGTGTTTGCACTAGGTTAATCGTCAAATTAATTCAAATTAATTAGTTGTTTCCAAGAGGTTAATCGTTTAATTAATTGTTTAGTGTTTGCACTAGGTTAATCGTCAAATTAATTAATTGTTTCCATTGTTTGCAAGAGGTTAATCGGCAACTTAATTAATTGTTTCCATTGTTTGCACGAGGTTAATCGTCTAATTAATTGTTTTCAGTGTCTGCACTGGGTTAATCGTCAAATAAATTAATTGTTTTCAGTGTTTGCACTAAGTTAATCGTCAAATTAAATCATTGTTTTCAGTATTTGCACTAGGCTAAACGTCAAATCATTCTTTTCCGTTCGGTAAAATGTCTGGAGTCTATTTTCACACAGACAGATTTCTTGTACATATGATATAACCAAGACCATGTTTCATCGTCATATCTTGCAAACATTATCATAGTAAGGCTAGAGGATCAGTATGTACAGACTTCGTTCTCAGATATGTTTAATTCCTCAAAGGCCAAACATTACCGGATCTTTAAGACACAATTTGGATTTGAAAATTATTTAAAGGAGAATCCGAACGAAAACAAAACTTTTGATATATTGTAAAGGATATTCTAAAAGTCACCTTCCGTGATTAAAATTGAACAAAAAAAGCTGTATTAAATTGCTTTTTCGTACGTCCACCAGCTGAGGTCGGCCGTTGGAATGGTGTATCTTTACACGAGGGTATTATGTACTCTCTGTAATACCTCTACCGTAATGAATATCATTCGAGAAACAAATTTAATAAACCTTGCTTTTACAAAACACCAAACTCTGTTAAATCCTCTCAATTGTTTCAAAATGAAAAAGTTGGTCAACTACGAAAACTTTGCTTTGTAGCACTGTCATGTTCAGGTACAAGTCACTGGGAAAGTGAATTATAAAATCACCTTTTTTTTGTGTAAAAATTATTTGAAAATTTAGATGTAAGTCCTCTGTGTAAAAGAAAGTACTATGTACTACTATTTATTATGTGTATGCTATATGTCTTATAGTGTAAACATATTTTATTCAAAATAAATTGAACTAGGATTAAGCCGTAATGGCTTATTTAAATACCTCTCCATTTCATTGATACATGAATAAGACATTTATTAAATAATATGCAGCATGAAAGGAAAGCAAGCAGCCTGCGTATTGAACATCATTAATCATTTATCAAATCTATGCGAATTTATTATAAAAGTACGGACAGATGTTAGTATAAAAGAATTTACAAGTTTATTTTTTTTGGATTACCATTTATCACAGAATTTAAATTATATCCATGTTTGTAAAAATACATGTGATATCTGATGTTGGAATAATTAGGACAAGTAAAGAAGGAATGTAAAGTATCCTCATAGGGGTGACCACAGGAGCAGAATGGATCAACTGAAATGTGCCGTTCAAACATGTGCGCTTTCAATCACTGCACCCAAGTCTGAGGCGTTAGTGGATAATTTGGCAGAAACGTGTACCAAAGTTTTTATTAAATATATTAAAATTAAGTGGTTTTGATGATTGTAATACATTTTTGAATTGGCTTATGGTTTCAATATCGTACATATTCTCAGGCAAATCATTCCATTGTCTTATTGAATCTGGTAAAAACGAATTGTTATACAAATCACTACGACATCTTATAGTTTGAATGTTATTTCTGTTTCTTAATCTATGGTCACTTAACTGTGATACTTTTTCGGGCAGTAGATCAGATAAATAGACTGGTGTCATATGATGAACCATTTTGTAAAATAATGATAACTGGCTAATTTGTCCACGGTCAACTAGGGGCATGGAGTTAGTTTCCTTATACATGTATATTTAATCATGACTTGTTCCTCTAACTGCCCCGCAAATCGTCCGTAGAGCGTCTAAATGTAGATTTTCGACAAGTTTTTCTTGTTCTTTAGTACAGTTATCCCAAAGGTGCGAACAGTAATCGAACATTGGTAATATATACTAGGCACATAAAGAAACTGTGCATACAAAAAATTAAAATCTAAATTTATCAAACCTGTGTAGACACATAAGGATTCAAACTCAGAGGTTAGTGATATGTATCCAACATGCATGCACGTGCCACGTTCCGTGACGTCAGTGGGTTCGTCCTTGAGACGTGCAATACGTTGTTGCACGTGCATTCCGGGAAAGAGAAACAGAGCAAATGAATGCCACACAATACTGTCACTTTGGAAAGCTCAACCCCTGCCCTTGCGATCGTTCAAAACATTAAACGGCTATTGAAACGCATAGCATGCCAAGGCTCACGTCTGCACAACGTCATGAGGCCATTGGGATGGCCCGTGGGTGAATGTCTCAACGACAAGTGGCTGCACATTTCCACTGCCACCGGAACACCATTTCTGCACTGGTGAGACGCTACCAGAACACAAAATGACGTCATCGATCGGCCACCTTCTGGACGTCCACGTGTAACAACGCCAAGACAGGACATATGGATAAGGGTGACCCATCTTCGCCACAGGTTTCAGACTGCAGTGATGACTGCCCCAACCATCCCAGGACTTCGCCGTATACACCCCAACACAGTTCGACAACGTTTACGTCATCACGGGATCAGACCACGACATCCCGCCATACGGCCTATCCTGACACAACGTCATCGACAAGCTCGCCGAATGTGGGGCTGAAATCATGTCCGCAGACCTTTGTTTTGGTGGAAAAATGTTGTTTTTACAGATGAGTCCAGGTTTAACATTTCCCATAGTGATGGATGTCAATGTGCCTATAGACGCGTGGGAGAACGTTATGCACAGGCCTGTGTCTTGGAGAGGAATCGCTTTGGTGGTGGTTCCGTGATGATTTGGGGTGGAATAACAGCACGCCAAAGAACTCCTTTGGTGATTGTTCAGGGCAACTGAACTGGTGTGGGCTACAGGGATCAGATTCTTCGACCTGTGGCAATTCCTTCTCTGCAACGTCATGGCCCTGGGTTAACATTCCAACAGGACAATGCCCGCCCTCATACGGCAAGGGTTCCTATGGATTTCTTGCAACACCACAACGTTGACTTACTGCCTTGGCCTGCAAATTCACCGGATCTCTCCCCGATAGAACCTGTTTGGGACGAGATGGATCGACGTCTACGCCGTCTTCCTCATCCGCCAGATAACGTCCTTGACCTTGCAACAGAACTTGAGAGAATCTGGCGTGACATCCCACAAGCCTTCCTTGCACGTTTGATAGGCTCTATGCGTCGTCGATGCACTGCTGTTCTCAATGCCGATGGTGGACATACCCGTTATTGAGCTTGTGACATGGTCGTTTGACCCCTTTCCCGCTTGTGGACTCGTGACGTCATTGTGATTGACTTTTCAATTGAAATTCTCCCGACTTATTATGGTCTCATGATCCCTCCATTAAAGTTTATATGTACCTTTGACATTGTTGTCGTACGTATCAACTGGGATAATATTTTGATAATGCACAGTTTCTTTATGTGGCTAGTGTATAAGACTTGTACATTTGCTCTGATGATTTTCTAGATAATCTATATTTAAAACTACGAAGACAATTTACCAATGGACGAACCTTTTTGACTAATTCACCAATGTGGGAGTTCCATTTACAGTCTGATTGCAAGGTTACTCCTAGGTATTTATGGTAGCCGACTTCAGTAATGTCTACTCCATGCATACCAGTATTTCTGCGAGTGAATAAAACAGCTTCAGTCTTACCAGGATTAAAGATAACCTGTCATATTTGAGCCCAGTGAGAGATCCTGTTTAGGTCATTATTTAAGGAAGCGGCAGTAACAACATGATTATCAACAATAACATATACCGAAGTATCAACGGCCAAAAGACGAATGTTACTACTGATACCTTCAATGATATCATTTATGTAAACTAAAAACAGTAATGGCCCAAGGACAGATCCTTGTGGCACCCCAGCAGTGACTTCTTTACATCTGAATTGTAATTGTCTATAGCTACTCTCTGTAATCTATTGTCAAGATAACTGGAAAACCAATCAAGTAACTTACCCTTAATACCATAAGCTTCTAATTTCACTATGATTCCCTTATGCCAAACCTTGTCAAAAGCCCTGCTTATGTCTCAGAAAACTGCCCTGACTTCTTTGCCATTGTCTAATGCACGTAGTATAAAAACATACAAGTATGTCAGTTGGTATACCGTACCATCCCCAGGCATGAATCCTGACTGCAAATTGGTCAATACGTTATTATCTAAAAATAAGTTAAACACATGTTTAAAAATACATGTCTCAAATACCTTTTATATGTCTTAAATTCAGACTTCCAGCCCTGTCACCAACATGTATATAATCATTGTGATCTTCATATG